AGACCGGGGTTGCCAACAGCAGAAATAGCATTGCTTCTGCAGGGTCATCCTCACCGACTAAATCAGCGACAAATCCGCTTTCTGCTCTATCTGGAGGTCCGTCCCTGTTACCAGCGAAGAATATTGGGAGGGAAGGCATGGGCAGTGGTGTTGACTGGGTCCAGGTTCGGCGAGACGTCAACCGTTCCAACTCTTTGAGCCAGAACGAGCGTACGGAACGAAAGGAAAGATGTCAAATGCTGGACCATCCAGCTTTGAATCCCGTGGAGGAACTGTACAACAGCATCAATGGCGATGAGGGCGCCGATGGAATGCCCGTCCAGGAGCCCTTCAACTATCTAACTATTAACCTGAGCCAGGTCGACAAGAACTCCCGCTTTGTGGCCAGCCTGCCCCCCACCACGACGGCTGCATCGCTTGCGGCTACCTACGTTTGCCGACCATACCATAGCGATGTTCAGCGCCTACGTGCCATCTTCACCTGGGTTTCCGAGAAGGTTTGCTGGGAGGAGGACTTTGAGGGGCCTATCGACACGCGACGGGTTATTCACTCGAAGCGTGGATGCTCCGAAGAGTTTGCGGTTCTCGTTGCGGAGATGTGCGAAGCTGTGGGCCTGCATTGTGAGGTCGTCCGCGGTTATCTCAAGTCGCCCGGCGAGATCCCTGATGCCAATATTGTTCCCCGTCCCAACCACTGGTGGAACGCGGTGATTGTTGACAACGAGTGGAGGATGATGGATACCTGTTTGGCGAGCCCGTCCTTCCCACGCCGTGCTCTGTACTCGAGTTGGAACAGCTCTCAAGCGGACCCCTGGTGGTTCCTAGCACGCCCTACCGAGATCTGCTGGACGCATATCCCCGAACACCACGAACAACAACACATCTGCCCGCCCGTTGCTCACGAGGTCCTGCTCAATTTGCCCTGTGCCTGCCCACCATACTTCAAGAACGGTCTGGACATGTTTGACTACAACACCTCTCTGATCAGGATCGAGGATCTCGAAATGGTGCACATCAAGTTCAACGTGCCAGCTGATGTCGAAATTGCCGCAGAGGTCGAGACTCGCGCCCTGACCAAGGATAACGACGGTGATGTCTTTGAGTCTGGCGAAGTAGTCAAGAAACGTGCCCTCGCACAGGCAGAGTGGTTCGGAGGCGTCAAGCGCTACACCGTCAAGGCCCTCCTGCCCGGCGACGAAGGCACCGGCACGCTCAAGATCTACGCTGGCAAGCGTGGCCTAATGCACAGCATCAAGGACATCCCACACCCTCTCGCCTTCGCTCTTCCCATCATCCACACGGGCGAAAACCCGCCCTACGAGTTCGTCACCCGCCATCCAACCCCTCACGCCCAGCGCCATGATCTCTACATCGTCCAACCGCAATGCCAGCGCCTCGCCCTCAACAATACCTTCGTCTTCATCATCCGCCAACACCCAAGCTCGAGCTCAACCTCCGACGGCCCCATGTCCCCATCCATTACCTCCGGCAGCGCCTCTCCGATCCCCTTTCACCGCCCTTCCAGCGCCATGAGCATGACCTCGAGCGCAGCCGGTGGTTCCCAGCCCAGCACCACCGCCGGCGGTTCTAGCAACAGCAGCAGCAGCAGCAGCAAGAAACCCGCCAAGCTGGCCATCCAAACCCCCGGCGGCAAGATCCTCCGGCTGATGAGAAAAGAGGACCGCGGAAACGGCAGAGGAACAGGCATCGGGTTCGGGAGCCGGGCGGCCGCGCAAGCAGCGGCCGAGCCGGGTGAGGAAGGGGATGGAGGCACGTGGGAGACCATCATCAAGTGCAGCGAGCGCGGTACATGGAGGGGACTGGTGTTGGCTGATAGGACAGCCAGGTGGTGCGTTTTCGCTGAGTGGGTTTGTCAGTAAGAATGGCTTAAGCCTGCCACTAGACGGTCCATGAAGGAAAGTTCCATCTGAAAAAGGCACTACCTGCAGGTTGGTTCGTGGTGGGCTAAGGGGACATCCGAGATGAACGGGTGTCTTGAAAAAAAGGAGATCTCGAAGAACGAGAAGAAAGAAGCACGAGCGGTGTTTTCGATTGGTTGACCTTGCACACATGAGGTCCTCATGTTGGACTCCAATGTATGGCTATAATGTCGTATGGTTTTATGGTTGGGTTTTGATGAGCGCCGATATCTTTTTTTTCAATTCTGTTTTTTTTCTTCACATAGGTGTCACATCGCATTGTTCGACCCTTGGCGAGGCGTTCAAGGGAAGAGAAACGCGCATAGCAAGCGAAGCGAAAGCAGATGTATGTTCTAGTTTTTGTGCTTGGGATCCTCACTCCAGATGTACGCAGTATACACTGCTTGTTAGCTTTGGTTTCATGTTGAGCAAGTGGGACTCACAGAGAGGGGAGAATTTGCGGAGGTCGTTATGTAAAGCCTAGCTAGCATCATCAGTTGACTGGGCATACGAAGAAGGGAAGAGGAGAGAACAAGAAATTTATGACTATACCCCCATCATTCTGATTTGAGTTGTAAACATTGACCCCCGACCCTGTGCTGTGAAGTCTGTCTAGTACACAAGCTGAAGTTGAGAGTAGTTCGGCGGTTGCTCCTGGGTTCCTTCCTGACTTGACCAGATTCTGCGCTTTGGTGGGTTACGTGGCTTACGTGGTATGGATTCGATCGATTGCACACCACCTGTGGCTAGATCCGTCGAACACAAAGAGCAAGAAAGGGGCGGTGTCTGTCAAGCTCTCACAGATTTCGTATCTTTGATTATTTCGTTTTCCATCATAGATGACGGTTTAAGGCCAACATAGACGACACCACCGGTTTTACATACCCTCAGCTCTACAGTACTTGGCCTCTCCGGCTCATGTATAAAAAAGCTCCCGTGGTGTACGGCTTTGTTCTTTGGTGGAAAGAACCACGTAACATGATCTGCCCCGGCCGAGAATGGAGCTCAGTACTGAGTAGGTAGGTAGGTACCTCTACGCTACCCCAATCGGCCAGAAGATCCCCGTCGTTGGCTGGGAGTGCTGGAAGGAGCGGAGGTATGGAATAACTGAAGGCCTTATATGAGCGGGCGCCTTTGGGAATGAGTTTGGAAGGAGCATCGGCGAGTGCTTGCGCCGGGTATAGGACGGGATTTTCTCCACAAGGCTTTCCCTGTGCGGGGTATCTACAGTTGGGCCTGGCACGCCTTTTCCTCTTTCATCAAACAAGCCATTCATCAAGCATTTCCCTTTTGCATATCCCTTGTTGCATCTTCAAGTAAGATTCCATATGAAAACTATGTCAGGTGTAAGTTATCTGATCCTATGCCGTGGTACGAAGTATCAAGTGATGAGCGAGTTCGGTTAGCTTTCGAAATTACATCCGTGCGAGATCTGAAAGTCTGTTCTGTGTTGCTCGATGAAGCGTCAGGAACCTATAAGGGGCAATGAATAGAAGCTCACCATACAATTTGATGGGCTTGTTGCCGCCCTCCACAACTCAAACAATCCCTCTAATGTCCGTTTCTGCTGCAGACAAACTGGTTAACTCCCCCGTCCCAATCGCCTCATGGCGCCTAAAATGCCCAAAACACCTCTCAGCGCAGCATTCACAGATTACTAAAGCCTGTACAAGACCACCTCTCCCCCTTTCTTTCGAATTCAAGTCATGATAAACGAGTGTCTGCAGGGTTGACAGTCTTCCACACCTTCAAAGCTGACATCCACTTGGAACGTTATGTGTTGGCCTTCGGATAGACCGCAACTCGGAAGCCGAGACGGCATTTAAGACAGAATGATCTACCAAAGCTGAACACCAAATTTTTCGCCGATGTGGGTTTAGAGTAAGACCTGCATCACCGGTGCTGCGGGTTCGGGAGCAAAAGACTGCGCTACCTCAACTCAGCTCGACTATTTCTTGCGCGATTGCTCGATAGGGCGACATGGACCGCGATGAATTTTTTCGCTCTTGTCAGTGCATGCTGCGATGGATGTGTTTGACCAGCCAATTGCTCACGACTCCGTCGTTGAACAGACCCTTTTTTTTTTTCGTGATTGATTGATGGCTGATTGAATGATCGGCCAAATGCCTCAGTGACGTCAAACTATTCCACTTACCTTTTCCCCGAACATGTTGGTTGGGGCCACTGAGGACCTTGCGGGGTGCTGATACCGGAGAATCAGAGATGGACTTTAAACACGACGGACCCCAGGTTCCTGGAGGGCCGATCACTTCACAGATTTCAATATAATCCCATCCACCCAAACTACTCAGTCTGAACCTAATCGTTCTATGGCCGAAAACGCAACAAAACCGCTGGTTTTCACCTTTGGCCGTGCCACCTTGACTTATAGCGCGCCTGATCTTCACAGCGCCTGTGACCCTCGGTGTCAGAGCACGGTTCGCGACCAAGACCGACCCCTACCTCCGCGGAGTTTACGCCGTCAACTCATTCAATAGTGGTAAGTCGAAAGCCGGATGACTTACCCTCAGCCACTCGTTGCTCAACACTTGAACCCGAGACAATGACATTCTGAAACTTCTCGGGCCATGAAGGATCGTTCATTGCTTGGTCGTCCTTGAAGGTTCAAGCATGGCTCAAGCAAGGATGTACAAGGAATTGCACTGCCCGTCCAAGCGGCGGCATGATGCAAGCTGCGCAGTGTCTTTGGAAACAATACCATGTGCGTTCGGGTGGGAGCTGTAAACTTTTCCCACCGCTTTGGTTCGAAATTCTCTTTCTTGTACAGGAGTTGTTCTTGGATTCGTCTTGCCTGTCTGTCGGTTAGAGCTTCCAAGTTCCCACTCCATCCTTATTTCATGGGGTCTCGGGGCAATCTCGTGTATCTTTGATTCACTCATTTCTTCCCACCTTATGATCGCCACACCAAGCGATATCGCATTACTTGTCAGGGGGGACTCGACTTCTCGAACCTCATAATGCGGGATCAACCGCCATCTCCATATTCACATTTGTCTCCAAGTTGGAGATTCTCGATACTTTTTCCTGAAGCCGAGCACAAGTGGCAAAGGGACAGGGCGATTACGCGTTGCTTGGCAGGACCCGGCAGAACCCGGGGTCGTACATAAAGATCATAAGACGTCCTGTTTACACTACACGTGTACTAAATCCATCATGATGCGCAGTTTCACGCGCCACAGATTCTCTCGCCAGCGGGTTAGCTCCTCATCAACCATCGACGACATGTCTAGCCTCCGACCGTGTTCAAGCACATCGTCAAGGGGACGGGATACTGGGTTCCCAGAGCCCTTCAATGGAGGTGCGTAAGCATGGCATACCTATCACTGCATATTGGTCTTGACTAACATCACTATCAGACCGAAACACAACATTACCACACCCAGAAGCCAATCTCAGCCCTAACGCTACCCTCGGCGAGGAAGACATCTCGACGGAAAGGGCACTAATGCGGGCCCGAAATTCGTTCCTAAAAGACCCGACTTCAAGTCCCAATAGCGCCGAAGGGTTTATGGACAGCATCAAGAACATGGAACGTATGGCTCGCGCGGCAAGAGGTGATATCAGCAAAACAACACCAGACAATGGCGCGACATGGGTGACAACACCAACAACAACGACAGCAGCAGCAGCAGCAGCAGCGACAACAGCAACATCACCAGTAAAGGACAGCGAAAGTGTCATGTCCGCATCATCAGGTGGCTCAGGCCCTCGACGACTAGAGACCCCGTTCGTGAACCGTGCACGGCCGCTGTTCTCACCGGACTCGCCGGAGTCCAGAAGGAGCACGAAGTCGACGGGGAAGAGGGCATGGTTTGCCAGGAACATATTGGGCAGGTCGCCTTAAACGACGGGCTCTTGGCTGGGTTGGCGAGGCTGGGCGGGTGGCTGATGTTGCGGTCTGGCCGTGCTTGGCACAAGTCATCCAGAGGACGATTGTGATATTGTTCGTGTCACTCGGCTAGGGCGGAGTGATTCACCAAGACGATAGAGCAATGTCGAGCGGGGTCGGGCGGGCCGAAAGCTTTAAGAGTCTTTCTGCATGTTTTCTTAGGTGTCTCTTTTAGCGCGGAGTTTTTTGTCCGGGGTTGCATAACATCAGGATTTGGATTGAAGGAGTGAGGGAAAACGGTGGCATTGTACAACACATTACAACACATCACAAAACGACCAGAGACGAATTTCTTTTGTATCGAAGCATTCGAAGGGAGCAATAACACTTGGGTTTATATCTGTTTAATTGATGGGGTATTGATTTTATAAGGTGTGGAGGAACTGTGAGAGTATCGGCATGAAGCTGGGCTTTATGGCGGACCAAGGTTGGAAGAGCAACTTGAGTGTTCTCAACTCGGCCCCTCTCCAGTCCAAAACATGGCAATTGTTCAGAGCAACTATTACCTCCTATACACGGCGTTTACCTGGAAAGTATGGTCGTTCCCAATAATAAAGCCCATTGCTTTCGCAGTCGAAAGCTAGAATCACAAAAGGTATCTGCTTCAACTCCACGGTCACATGTCAATTGAGATAATATAAGGTCGTAGCTACACTACTTGAGCTTCGTCAATTCATCAGGTCTGGATTCCCCACGGAATTGACACTGGACGAGATGTTTTCCCAATTGTCCCAAACCTCTTGATGACCAAATGAATGGCTAGGTACGGATTCGAAAGGAGCTAGCAAGATTTCAAACAGTATATATCATTTGGAGAAAGCATGTTCACAGCATGCAAATATCTAGGGAAGTTGACTCGAGGTCTCGAGCTGACAATACCAAACCGGTTTCGGACTGTATAAAACAAAATGCCAAATAAATCGAAACCGTTGAAACGTTGATCTGTCATGCTCATTTTCCCCATATCTGCAACTGATTCAGCCGCTTCCATCCTTCCACTACTACAACGACGTCATCGCTCCTCCTCCCATGTGGTTTCTCATTTGACCCGTTACCCACCCCCCGTGTCTCCAACCCCCCCAATCCCGTCTTTCCTTTCTTTTCTTTTCGTTCCTCTCAACGTCTTCCATCTGAACCTCCCCCTCTAACTCCCTCGATAAGTAGAATAACTGTACGGCGCCAACAAAAGCGGGACATGATAAGTCTGTCCCTCCTCCACCCTAAACACCACCGTCACCTCGGGGAAGAAGGTCTTATCCTCCCCATCGAAATACCCTGCCGTATCAAAGCGCAACATCCATCTCGACGGGCCCTTGATGTCGTTGACAAAGACGTCTTCCAGAGTGTAGACGGGGACTTCGCCCGAAGAAAGCGCGGAGGAATAGGGCAGCCAGGTCTTGATGCGGCCGTCTTCGTCGGTTATGGATTCAAAGGTTTTGCTGGGGGTTTGGGCGGTGGAAGAAGAGGTGGAAGAAGACAGAAGCTCGAGCTTGACGCGCACCGAACGGGCCGGTTGGCCAAGGGAGGTGTCGAGGATGTGGCACGTTATGCGGTCTTTGGTTGCCATTTTTTTTATATGATGATTTAGAGTTCTCCTCTTACTGTTTGGGGTCTCGAAACAATTATGAGGTCAGAAATTGGCTCCGAGAGGTAAAGAGCTGCGGTGAGTTTGAGGTGAAGTGAGGTTTGGAACTTATGGGGTCTTTTGGAGGTGAAGTTGACGGACAGGGGTCTGGGTGACAGCTGCGCCCAGCTTGGGGGGGAATGGTGGGGCATGAAGCGGGGCTTGTTCTCAGCGATAAACGCGTTACATATGTGAAAACCAAGGGACAGTGGGTACGTACGTTGGTGATTGTTTTGGGGGTTTCTGCTAACTCTTCAGTGCCTTCCGTTTTGACTTTGATGAAGAGCTCAAGTCACAGATTCATCAGTCTCAAACCTAAGATAGAAGAAACCCCGAATCTTTTTGTATCATTTCAAGGTGTGAAGTCCGCTACGACGGGACGGGGCGTCAACCGACACAGCCTCCTCGTTCCCGCCGCACGGCAGCAGCGACGATGGGGAACCACCACTGGGGCCGTCGGCGGCTGCCGTGCACCGCTGCAGCTCTCAGGCGGAGCTAGCTCCAGCTCCAGCAGGGTTCCCATCGTGGTTCCCATCCCAGTTGTGCTACTATGTACATGCTACATAGTCTATGTACCTACCCACCGGCATTTGGAGAGCCATAAGCCGTAAATAGAAACAGGGTGTTGAGAAACACTGCCACGGTCCTGATGATGCGGTACTTGTGTGGTTCCCTTCGATGGCTCAGGGTGCTACACAACGCTGGGAAAGAGCCAATTCGACGTGGAAGAATGGGGAAGCCTAAAATGGGGGTACCACGAAGGGCGCATGCTGTCAGAGAGAGGGAAGGATGGATATGCAATCTTTCATTCAGCGACCAGAGTTTGAGTTCCATGTTTGATGTCGACATGTCTGGGATGAACGTGACAAGAGATGAATATCGAGATTGGGGGCACCCTTGCAAAGTGGCCAGGGGAAGACCACAACATGTGTAAAAACGGCCCCACGATGCGGCGCTTTCCCACCCCTGTAAATATTTTGCGTATGACTGAAACCTGGGGAACGGGGTGTGCAATGAGTCACGTCATTTATTTTGGACAATGAAAGCCGACACCGGGCATATACCTATTGTTGAGAGTCATCAACATCAATGAATAAGGGGGGGTTTCGTGAGTGATTGAAGAGAGAGCTGAAGCGGGAGTCACTTAGGTTTGGTGACACTCCGATTCCGCCAAACAGAGGCTTGAACCCTGAAAAGGACTTGAGACTCGGGAGTCGGGAAGCCAAGGCGAAGAAGAGTGGAGATGTGCCAAACTTCTAGACTCTTTGAACTCTTCACTGTCTCTGCACTTAACAACTCAGACTTGTCTTAGATAGTTCAAATTATTTTTCAGTCTCAGACACATATCAAAATGCCTTCCCGCGCGGACATCACCTACTTCGGCGCCGGCCCTGCCGCCCTTCCCACCGACGTCCTCGAGACCGCCGCCCAGGCGCTGCTTGACTACCAGGGCACCGGCTTGGGTATCGCCGAGCACTCTCATCGCTCCGAACTTGCGGCCAAGATTATCAACGAGGCCAAGGCCGACCTGGCCACCTACCTCGACTTCTCTCCCGAGCAGTATGAGGTTCTCTTTATGCAGGGTGGTGGCACCGGCGAGTTCGCTGCCTCCATGTACAACCTCGTTGGCGCCTGGGTTTCCCGCCAGCACGCCGCTGTCCAGAAGGAGCTCGGCGAGGGTGCGGCCGCCGATGAGGCCCAGGTACTTGCCGCCCTCCGCCAGCGCGTAGAGTCCGGCCTCAAGGTTGACTACATCGTCACGGGCTCCTGGTCGCTCAAGGCCTACCAGGAGGCCGTCCGCCTGCTCGGCCCCGAGTACGTCAACCTAGTGTGTGACGCCCGCACCATCAACGACGGCAAGTTCGGCAAGATTCCCGACGAGAGCACTTGGAAGCTTAGCAAGGACGCCGCCTACGTCTACTTCTGCGACAACGAGACCGTTGATGGCGTTGAGTTCCCCAACTTCCCCAAGATCCTCGAGCCCAAGGAGGACGGCACCGGCCCCATTGTTGTGTCTGATATGTCCTCTAACATCCTCTCTCGCCGCATCCCCGTCAACAACTACTCCCTCCTCTTCTTCGGCGCCCAGAAGAACCTTGGCTGCACCGGTGTCGCTGTTGCCATCCTCAAGAAGACCTTCCTCCCACCTACCCTCAGCCAGCCTAGCCCGGCCCTGCTCAGGAAACTCGCCCTTCCTATCCCTCCTATCGTTCTTCAGTATGAGATTATTGCCAAGAACAACAGCTTGTATAACACGCTGAGCATCTTTGAGTAGGTTTCTCCTGAACTTCTTCAGGGGGGGCGCGTGTTCCAGACTAACAAAGTGATAGTGTCTACATTGCGGGCCAGGTCCTCAAGAAGCTCCTCGCCACTTTCCCCAACGGTGTTGACGGCCAGCAGGCCCTTGCTGAGAAGAAGGCCGAGCTCATCTACTCCGCCTTGGAGGCCCATCCTGAGGCTTACAAGATTGTTCCGGACAAGTCTGCCCGTTCCAAGATGAACATTTGCTTCCGCGTCATCAAGGTGGGTCAAATTTTTCGGTGCCGGATGTTCTTTGTTGAAAAATGGGCTAACATGTCTTTCCAGGGTGGCAACGTCGACGAGGCCGAGAAGGCCTTCCTCAAGGAGTCCACCGCCATCAACCTAACCGGTCTCAAGGGCCATCGCAGCGTCGGTGGCATCCGTGCTTCCAACTACAACTCCATTCCTCTGGAGGGTGCTGAGAAGCTGGCCAACTTCATCCATGAGTTTGCCAAGGCTTGAGCTACGAAGTTTACCTATACTAAAAAAAGGTATACGAATCTGGAAATATGGGTAGGGGGGTTAGGAACCGGCATAAAAGTCAGTTGGAAGGCGCAACATGGGATGGTATGGGATAGCGGGGAGCATAGGTGTCGGGTTCTTCGACAACAAAAAAGTATAATACACACACCCAATTTCAAACGCGATTGGGATGGATACCCCTATGATACAGAAACTCATCTTCAAAGGCCATTTCATCTGTAGCAGCCACTTCCCCGGTTTCTTTCTTTCTCACCACGTTATCAACTGGGCCCTACCTCACTGCCTATCCTTTTCAATAATGTCCCTCAACCATCTCGGCACTTCAGGCCCCTCCTCCCATCCCTCCAAATACCTCTCCTTCCCCACATCCTCGCCCGCGGGCTTCGCATATATCCCTGTTACATACCACCACTTCTCCCCCTTCTTAATCCTATGCTGCAGCGTCGGGATCGTTGTCCTACTCTCCACCAAGTTCGAGTTCGGATCCGCATTCACTAGCATCGCCTCTCTGCCCCCTCTTGTCTCTTTCTCAATTTCTAGCGCTTTGATCCCCACCGCTCCCGCCCTCGACACCGCAAACGCTCCCTTCTTGGCGGGAGCCCAGGCTTCGGGAGTGTTCAGGTCGTAGTTCCCGATGAGCTTGGGGAAAGTGCCCTCGCATTTCTCTGCGTCGTACAAGTCTAGGTACCGACCGTCCGGCGTGCGCTCGTTGAGGATCGCGAACGACCCGTCGGCCGTCATCACCTCGCGCCCTTGCGCGTGGATGTGGTGCACGCGCAGGTGCCAGTTGGGGGCGGCAGGCGTGGGCGGGAGGAGGTAGGTGGTTACGAAGACGTCTGGGTAAGGTGTCCAGTCGGAAATGAGTACGGGGTTGTTTTCTTTAAAGACAAGACGGGAGGTGGACAGTCGGCGAGTCTTCCAGTACTCGCCTCCGTCGTCAGAGAATCCCAGTTGTGAGGCCAGGGCGTATTGCTCCAGCGTGAAGCAGCCCGGGGGAACCGAATAGCCAAAGGCGGAGGAGTAAGCGAAGGCGCCGTACTTGGCGTGGGTGCCCTTCATCGGGTAGGAGCAGGCTTGGCCAGAGGAGAGAAGCATGCAATGGCCGCCGAGGTTGCTCATGATGTGACCCGGTTGCGGGAGCGGCTTGACGGCGGGGATGACCGGCCACGGGTCTTCTTCGGAGGAGGTCCAGAAGGGGTGCGTTTCGGGCACGGCGAGACAGATGAAGGCTAGACAGGCCCAGTAAGGGGAGCCGGGGCTGTTATAGTTCTCGGCCATGTACATGTTGTGGTAGGAGTAGCCGATGGTGAGCGTGCCGGCGGGGCTGAACATGTTGTCTTGTGTTTGCCACCATCGGAGATGGCGGAGGACGATACCTTTGACCATGCCCCAGGTGAGAGGGGCGGGAAGCTCGACGTCGGCGTAGGCGAGGGCGCCCCAGAAGGAGACCATGGCGAAGCGGTAGCCGACACTGCGGCCAAAGGGGATGGCGCGGCCTGGATGTTGGTTCAGAAATGTTTCTCTTGGATTGAATATGACCTGAGTGGTCACTCACCTTCTTTGTCATAGTAGTGTACCAGGTCCAATGCGGCAACCTGTGCCCTCCTCTTAAACTCGGCAGCCCGTTCGGGCTCATCTTCGCCAGCTAGTTTTGCATAAAGTAGCTGAAGGAAGTGGATAGCAAAGCTCGAAGAGTAGTAATCCATTTCTTTGACTTGTTGTCAGCGTTTTCTCCTCCATGGGTAGGGCCAGGTGGTGCAACATACGATGAATACCCTCCGGGCCATCATTAGACCACCCATCACCGCGGTAAAACGTATTGAGATGCTCGATATCAGCATCCAATCTCTCCTGAGAGAACTTTCCACCATTCTTCTTCAATCCAAGGTTGGCAAAGACTCGGAACCACAGCCAATTAGTGTTGGGCATGCTGTGAACACCCACTGCAGTTAGCATTCTCCGTTTCCTTCCTTCCTTCCTTCCTTCCTTCCTTCCTTCCTTCCTTCCTTCCTTCCTTCCTTCCTTCCTTCCTTCCTTCCTTCCTTCCTTCCTTCCTTCCTTCCTTCCTTCCTTCCTTCCTTTCCTACCCCCACTCGCCTCCTTCCTTCCTTCCATTTCCAAATATACCGTCCGGTTCCCCCTTCCCTTTCCAAACTGCCTCCCCATTCCTCGGCTCTCACCGCATCCCAAGCCCAACCGAAAAGAGAAAGAGAGACCACTTACTTCTTCTCATTCACACTTTCCCCAAGCCATCTCTCAACCCCCCTTTGCCCCGTCTCCCCAAGTCCCTCCCACAACCCAGGCACCACCGCCAGCGCAAACCCCAACGGACACATCTCCACCATCCGCTGATCATTGTCCCTCGGCCACCCCCAAAACTCTTTCGAAGTTTCGTCAACCCCGTTCCTAATCCCCTCGATCCACCAATCTTTGTGTTCATATTCCCCGCCTCCCGCCAGCAAACAAGCCAGTCCCCAGAGTGGACGGGCAAGCCCCTCGATTTCGGAAGCGGTTTGGTCGAATCGAACAGCGGTGGCGCCGGGGATGCGGATGCGCGATTTGAGGGGCGAGAAGAAGGGGAGGAGGGGGTCGAGGAGGGTGCGGAGAAGGGACTGGACGGAGGAGCGGGTGGAGAGGGGGGTGATGAGGGAGAAGGGGTGGGGGGTTGAATGGCCTAGGAGGAGGCCGGGGATGCCTTCCGGGGTCGTGGTGTTGTTGGTGGCCAAGGGTTTGTTGGTGTTCATGTTGGTGCGGCTATTGATGGGTATGATGTAGTGTAGGTATGGTAGAGAGAGAGGTAGGCGTTCACGGTCTTTGGCCTCATCCGATTGTTGGAACACTCGATAGTTTGGAAGGTAAGAAACTCTGGAGAGACTACCGACGTGACAACAACAAAACAAAACAAAACAAAACAGAAAAAAACAACGAGATAACATGTACCGGAAACGGGCACTTCCCGGTATATCAAGCTGGATGAACGATATCACATGGTCGCAGTCCATCATTACCACCCACCACCACCTTATTCCCCTCACTTTATCTCGCGGTTCATTATCCCGAAAGGCCTGAATATGTAACCATCAGAACTTGAATCAAAGATAGTGGAGCCATTGGCGCCTGGATATTATGGTTCAAGGTTCGGATAAGGGACAGGCACTCAACGGTAATCGGGGATTTTCCGCAGGAGTAATCTGCTGACGAGGGTAGAATGATGAATCAGGCTGCTCGCGGCTAAAATGCTTCTTCCCCCTTGCCGCTCGCTAACCGACAAGTTGGGGAGTGCGTACATAGGTGGAAAATGGGGGATCGCCGTTACGACGTAACATCTCGCCTTTATGGGGCATCCACCCCCACGAGGTAAAAGAGAGCCAAGAGAGTTATTCCATGAATCCCCGGAAAGATTGGCTTCAAGTGATGATGGTCACCTACCTATTTGAATCTTGACCACGGACAGTACAACATTCTACTTTTATCCACACAATCAGCTAGAATTCTTGAGTTACGAAAAAGCCATGGTATCAAAAACCTCTTGGTCCTCAACTTCTACTTCAACTCCACCCTAAAATGGCTCCTTCTCAGTAGACATTACGTACTCTTTTCAATATGAGGCTCTGTTTGTGCACTATCGGGACTGCGTTCTCCATTTTCGACTTTGTCAAAGCTTGCATCATGATGCTTGATGTGTACAATGTGCAAACAGAACTTGATAAAACTTTGAATGATACAGAACAAGCGACATGCAACATCTCCTCATCATCCTGTTGTTTCTTTACTTTCTTCAGGATTCGTGTCCGTCGCCGTCGCCGTAGGTGTAGTCTCAGTCTCCTCCGATGCCTCGGCACCCGTCGCTGTGCCTGGTCGTGGTGATGATGGCCCATCCGTCTTGGCTTCGGCAGCTGAAAGGTCCTCAGCGCTAGCTGAAGGCGCGGCTTCTGATCCATCTGCCGCTGTTGACTCGTCCTTCCCTTCCTCCCCGGCGGTGCTAGTCTGGGCTTTTTCTCTCCTCCGCCTTCTCATGTTCCTCTCCTCAGCCGCAGTCTGTCTCCTCGACTTCCTCAAACTTTCCCTCTTTTCTGCATCATCTTCCGCTCCATCTCCACCCTGGAAGCTTTGCAGCAATGCAGCTGCGCGTCGAGCGACGTCGTCTTCCTCCGCATCGGGAGCCTCCTTTGTTGGCGGTAGGGCATCGGGGCTGACAAGACCGTTGCCGGCGCCGTCGTCGTCCGTGGTCGCGGATGCAGCACTCTTGCCAGTTTGAAGGGCAGCCTCCACCTCGGGGATTTCGTTGAAATCTGGTACTTGTTGGCCTGAAGCGATGCGGACTTGATGTCGGTCCTTGAGACGTGCTCTCCTCCTCCTGTCTCTTTGGTCTCTGGTTTGCGGAGCAGCCGCTCTGAGCTTCTCGAGTAAACTGTCCATCGCCCCCGTACTCGTTGGGCTTGCCGGTCCTTGTGCCTCGCTCGCTTGCAAAGCCTTGAACTGGGCATTCTTGCGTTTCATCGATGCCTCGTTCCGCTTACGCTGCTCTTCCAGTTGAATGTTCTTCTCGCGCGACCTCTTCCACTCCATGATGAACGACGCCAGCTTGGAAAAGAATTCGCGACGAGCATTGTCGTCTGACGGGTCTTCGCCGTAAAAGACCATGATGTCATTGTATGTGCGCACCATCTCTTCCAGATACAACTGCATTTGCTCTGCCTTGAATCGAGCATCCTTCATGACCCTCTGCACAATCTGCGACACGCGATCCTGGGGATGGAACTTCTTCGGATCGGAGAGATTGCCTGAGTCAAGAGACATTTGCACGTTCTTGATGTTGTCGATATACCTCTTGGCATCAGCCTGAAGCTGTTCGATGTTGATCTTCTGGGCCGCAATAACGCCCTCGATGTCCTTGGCGAAATCTTCCCACTCTGGGTATTGCTGGCGCACAATACGTTCGACGAGATCCGCAAGCGTCGATTCGTTCTTGTCGTCCTTCACCATACCGAGTCTGGCAAGAGAAGAGAGTTTGAAACCGCGGGCTTGCTTGTTCGCATCGTTCATATAGTTACCGATATCCAAGATGAGGCCGAGTACGTTCATAAGGGACACGGAATCTCTCAAAGATTCGGACACTGCTACAACGGCGCGCATCTTTTCGGTAATCTCCTCGTATTCTTGTTCGAAGCTGCGAGTCAGTGCAAGGGCCCTCATCCTACTCTTCCAGTAGTGATGAAGTTCGAACGCCGTATACAGATATATCTGATCCTGTCTTGTGAGCTCGTTAGGATCCTGTTCTCGGGTATCTTTGCCGGCATCTGGTCCAGTCCAGTCCTTGCTATATGGTGCCATAACTTTGGCAGTGTTATCCGAAATGTTGCAAAGATCATCCTTCTGCAGGAAATCCATGACGACGGGGTTGTCTAGCACGTCTTTGTCGCAGTGAATGATCATCTGCACCACCTTCTCAACAGGGAACTGTGAGAATTTGGCAAGCGCGATTTCTGTAAACTGTTAGCGTGAGGCTTTCATAGAGTTGCGGCTCATCATCCGTTTCTTACCGAATGCCTTGCGCAAATCGTTGGAGATGATCTGCTTCTTGTCATCCTTCTTGGCACCTCCACCGCCAAGCTTCTTGATCTCCTTCGCCATGAACAACTTCTCAACTTCGTCCAGAATACCCTTCTTGCTGAGCTCATGATACTTTTCTTCCCTCGACTCAGGGGACGGTGTATGTGCCGCCCAGTGCGTTGCCAGTGGCGTGTCGACCTTGTCCCAATGGAAAGCCTTGAGCTTCTTCTTGGGCCGGACGACAGGTAGCCCAACAGAATTGGTCGCGGGAAGCCCGGCGTTCTGTGCCAAGAAGCGGCCCGAAGCAGGACCTGGCATGGGAGGAGGTGGTGGTGGTGGCATACCAGGCATACCAGGCATGGGAGGGGGCGGAGGCGGAGGTGGTGGCATACCAGCCATACCCGGCATTGGCGGAGGAGGTGGCGGCGGCGGCGGCGGCGGTGGACCACCAGCGCCAGGCATCGGAGGAGCAGCACCCGGAAGGCCTCCTGGCGGCGGCGGAGGAGGGGAGGAGGAGGAGGAGGAGGCGGCGGCGGCGGCGGAGGCCCGCCCGCACTGGGAATCGGAGCTGGGGCGCCCGGGAGGAAGCCAGGGGGCGGCGGAGGCGGAGGCGGCGGGGGTGGTGGAGGTGGAGGGCCCGATGCCGTGGCTGGTGCAGACGGTCCGGTAGCATCGGTAACTTGAATTTTGGGAGTCTCGGTATCGCTGGGTGTGATGGGTGTCTGGGACTCCATGCTGGGATGCGAGGGACCGGTTGTAATACCATCTCCTTCCTCGGAGTCGCTGGCATCGTACCTTCTGACCTTCCCAGTGAGTTCGTTGAACATACCATTGGTCTGCTTGGGGTCCACGACAGGCCTCCTGATCTTGACCACGCGAGGCTTCTCGTACACGATCTCGCCGTCGTCCCCGATCTCGACATCGCTCTCCTCTAGAACGTCCTCGACATGTTCTGACCGGGAACCAACAGGCTTTCTGGGTATTCTGGTCGACCTCTTGACACTGCCAAGCATGCTGTTGGTGAAGTCCTTGGGTGGCACACCCTCCGGTGTGTCGTCGCCAAAGCCATCCATCTCCTCCCGAAGAGCTCGGAGCCTATCCGAAGGGCCGATCACTTCGCCCCATACTCTTCCTTCAAGCTTGAACTGCGTCTTTTGGCGCTCAATCTGCATTTGCAGGCGCTCCAGAAGCCTCTCGCGATCGAGGATGCCTTGCATGCGAGCCACGTCTTCCTCACCAAGCTTAGCGTTGCCCTTGGAGGCGTTGGAGGCAGCTACATCTTGAGCGTCGCGAAGCATGAGGTACAGTTCGCGGGTCTCTAGCTCGTAGCGTTGCGCCTCCTTTGCCCGCAGGGTCTGCAAACTGGCAAGCTCCGACTTGAGACCCTCAGCACGCCTTTTCTGGGCCTCGATGAACATGGCTTGCTCATCAATCTGCTTTTGTAGCTTAGCCACCAGACCATCTGCTCCCAAGGCCAGTCTCTCCTTCATCTCATCCCTCTCCGCCATAGCGGCATCAGCTATCTGCCGGGCTTCGAGGGCCTCATCTAGAGCTTGACGTGCTTCAGAGTCGGTATGGAGCTTATCTAACAGACTTTGAACGGTGAAGTTGAGACTCTGCTTGAGGTCCATGTCCGGCAACCGGCGGTCCATAGCTACGTAGCTGAGCATGGAGTCCACCAGCTGGAACATGCGCAATCTCTCCTCGCCATCATTGTCCCTGATCAACAGCAAATGCTGGAGAGCAGATACAAAGTAGTCCTGTGTCTTGGTTCCATTAAGCCGCTGCTGTATAGCATCTACAATTTGTACCGGGTCGTTGAGGTCCTTAACCTCACCCTCGATACTATCTTTGATGCTGCTGTTCTCACGCTCGAGCATATCCTCATAGTCGATAGCTTCGTTGGAGCGGAACCGCTCGATTTGCTTGTCAATCAGCTCATACTGAAAGGCCTCCATCTTGTTCAGGATACGCCTGATGCCACAGGCCGTAAACTGAGCCCGAATGTGGATGCGCAGCTGCAGGTCCTTCTCAGGGGCATCGACCAACATGTTGACCAAGATGAGGGTAGCAACGGCGTATTCCATAAGCAGATTCTCCATGCCAATGCCACCACTTCGTACCTCCTCACTAGCACCGACCAAACTGCCCATCTTTCCGCGGCCGTCGACGGTGACCTCAACAAGACGCATCCAAGCATCGAAGCGCCCGTTTTCACCTTGCTGGGCTTTGACGACGTCCATGGCCTCGATGACCTTGACATGGCCCTTGCCTTCGCCCCAATGGCAGAGGAATGTCAGGACTTCGCTGACAAGCTTCCGGGTGGTGAGCCGAGGTGATATAAGGGAGGTGGCCAGAGCCACAATAACCTGTTGGTGAGCTAGCGCATCGTCTGCGCCAAACTTGTTGTTCATAAGAGCCTTCAAACACTTGACAATGTCATATTCTCGGTCCAAGTTCTTATCCAATCTTCCATTATCCGGCTGAGCAGGTCCATAGGCAGTCTTTCGGTTCATCTTTAGCAGGACATTGGTCAAGGCGATCTGTCCCTGACAGTCGATGAAGCGCTTGACCCAGCCGATCTGCTGTGTCCGAAGGTTGACTTCGAGTCCCCCGAGCCCTTTGCTGTCCAGAGCGTTTTCCATGACCTTGCGCACATACCACTCGGGGCTGCCTTCGTCATCGGAGGATTGGGTAATATCGACATTGCTGTATTGGCCAATCTTGGCCGTCTGTCTGCGCTTCTGTTCGCCCTGCCACTCGGTGAGTCGATCCTGGTAAATCAAGGTCCATTTCTTCGCGGCGGGGTATGCGATCATCTGGCGCTTGGCCTGGTCCGGGAGGTTGTGCCATCCTCGCTTTTGCATCAGGTTTATGAACATCTGTTCAATCACATTGTCATCGTCTGGCTTGGGAAAGTTGAATCCTTCGGAGCCCTGGTGGCCGGCAGCGACCTTGGTTAACCGCTGGGTATCTCTGTCCTTGTGGGCATGGGGAGAAAGGTAGGATGACTGAGACGAAGTACTAGGGAGTCCTATCCTGGATGAGCGATGGCTGGTTCCTGGGGCTTCTTGGTAGTGTCCGTCCCTACCTGAGTAGATGCTGGCATTGTCGCCCGAACTGCGGGTTGTCATGTACGAGTGGCCTCTTGAATTGTACCCGGGCAAACTGCTCTCTCTCGGTGGTCCCCATTGCTGAAACTGGGCCTGGCGGCCCGTGGAGGCCATGGTGATGTTAGCGGTAGCGAGAGTTGAGCGCGAACTTGATGCGCTGGGTGACTGCCCATTATAGGGGGAGCTTGGGCTTTGGTCGATGGTAGGATACTGGTGGAAGTCACCGGTGCCTTTGTTTAGGTGGTGTGGTACTAGCTCTCGCCTTAGGGGCATTTGGTCGGGCCTGGGAAGGTGGTCGAGGGCGACGGGGGAGCGATTGTCGGGGGAAACAGGGTCATAGGGGATCGTCGTGACGACCCCTGCCGTCATGTTGAGGCCAGATTCGGGCGTGTCGGGACGGTCCAGCGATATTACAGACGAGTCCCGGTAATGGCGCGAACTGCGTGCGGTATGGGTGCTGGCGGCGTCGTTGTCGGCGGCAAGGTATCGACCACCCTCATCACTTGCGTTCCGTTTGTCGGCCTTGTTCTTGCCAGTGGCTCTCGAGAAGAAGGAGGAGGCCTTGCCGCTCGAGGAGGTAGCCCTCCCATTCTTGTCGTGGGAGGACATGGCGCGGGACGGGATGTGTGAAGCGGCCGCTTCGCTACCGGCAGGGCAGTACACCAGAGTACAGTCCCAGCAGCGCAAGCTGCCTACGTGTTGTTCGGGGGTGGTTCCTCAGCAATAGGCGAGCGGGTATCGTGGGTATCTGGATCGCTGCAGAGGGGCGTCGAGGGGTGTCGAGGGGCCGGGCCGGGTCGGGTCTCGTCTCGAGGCGCAGAGTGGGTAGTTGTATAGGCAATCAATGCGCGGGTGGGTCAATTGGTAAATGAGTGCGTTGGAATGGATACGGAGCAAATGCCGTCAATGGACTCGGTGTCTGAGGCCCTGGGTGGATCGCATCATGTTCTTTGCGGGCAATAACGGTTGGTGAGCATGGCCTTCCTGCTGCATGAACCGGTGGTGTTTTTAGCATGAGGTCAAGTTGAGGCGTTCGGAGGGTAGCCGTGCCCGGGCAAGCTTTTGCGCAGAGGCGGGCCTCGAGGTAGGCTAGCTGCTAGCACTGCTAGCTGGTGGGATGAGCGCACTCGGACGAGATGTGTATGGATGTGTGCTGACCCAAACTAGACTGCATCGAGACCGTGTTGCCAATACGATCCAGATGGGAAATAGCCCGATCTTCGAAGGGAATGGAACTGAAGTGAAAGTCAAAGGGGTCAAGTCGCAAACGTACGGGCGGGCGCAAATATCCGTACCCGCGTCTGTCCGTGTAGCGTAGCCGGCGAAACCTGGAGATACCTAGGTAGGTAGTAGTGTAGGATGTCGTCGACTTCGACTTCTGGATCTCGTGTTGGAAATATAGATGGAGTACTGTAGTTACCTACCTAGTATGTAGTGTAGTGTACTGGCGACCTGGCTGACGGCAAGGAGGGGTGATGAGTAGGTAGGTAGGTTTGCGACACTCACAGCTCGCTCGCTACCAAAAGTGCTAGAGTACTTAGATAAGGTAGCTACGCCGAGGCTGAACTAGGAGAACAACAAAGTCCCGTTCGTTGGTCAAACCGTCAGGGCTTCGTCAGGGACGGACTCTCCCGTTCGAGGGGTCTGGTGGATTTGGCCCAGGTTGTTGGCGGTACCTAACTTTGGGGTGGAAGCGCGCGCGCGCGTGGGGCACTGGAGGGCCTGTCTTGGACGGGCTTAGTTACTACCCACTCGGACGAAATTGAAGGTTGATTTGAGATCGGGCGGCAAATGAATGGTGGTCTTCTATGAGCGATGATTGGGAAAGAAAAGGAGCAATGGCAACGACGACGGGTGGAGCGTCGTCCGGTGGTGGCTGGCTCACCCGCGAATTATCAGCTATAGAGACAAGCTCGGGAAAAGGAGAGGCAGAGGCAGATGACCATTCAAAAGTTACAGCGAGACTGAGGTGAAGTGGTTGAATGATGAGCCGAATGAGAGATCACTTGAGAGAGTGAGGTTGGGGTTCCTTGCCGTCAATGAACGCGAACAATGCTCGGCAATCGCAGGGGCAACTTCAGCATGGCGCGGGAGGGTGCACCGTGCACTCTTAACAGCTGCACCTTCTGATGGGAGACCTCAACATCACAGCAAAGGGGCCCGGGGTCTCGATGCGCTGAAAGCGGTTTAGCTGGGCACATCATCACCCCTGATGTCTTGAATCACAGGCGGGGAATTTGTTAGTGGTCAAGACGCAGGGCTGTCCGGGTTTCTTCCATTCTTTCATTTTCCCATCCACCATCCGAAACATCCATCTGAACCTAACCGATGGTTCATATAAAGTGATGGAATCACAAATCGGCACAGAATAGGATGAAACTAAAACCTGGAAAGAAACTCAATCAAAGAAGCTTATCAGCCGAGTACTGAAAAGGCCGCTGGTCAACCTGAAACGATACGCATAATGGTGATAAAGATCATCTTCGTATGCATTGGTGGCACATTCAGCGGCGCCATAGGTACATGTCCACATTACCATGTGCATACATACAATAGCATAAGTAGGCATAGCGGCTGGAACTATGAGTTGGCTAATCCTCCACCTTCCCAAAGTGCCCCTGGTGGGGGCAGATTGATATGATGGAATCACATCGAACTGATATTAAAATTGGTTCATGATCCCTTGCCCAATCATCACCGTTCTATCCGAGTACCATCATCCCTGCGTCTCACTATCCCTACCAAAAGAGGTCAAGATGATCTGAAGACAAAAGAATAAAAGTCCTCAAGCTAGAGGTATGAGCGAGAAACACACATGTGGAGGTCGAAAACTGTATAGGAACAGATGTTGTTGGTTGAAAGACATCCTATGAGATCCCTACATGAGGCCGTTGATGCCCCTGGATCATCAGGGCAGTTTGTTAGGTTTCTGCATCTCATCAACCTTGCGAGGGTGTCGTTCCGTTGCTATTTTGGGCCCGGGCCTCGCTCAGTCGGGCCATGCCTGGCACAGAGACCCGATACATGGAAGGGCCGGGTGAGCCCAGTCCAGGAACGCTACAGTGCACTGTTCCACAACGTCCGGGCTGTCAAGCCCAGGTGGCTACAGTACTGCGCGCGCAGTTAGCGCAGGTACACCTTTCCGCACACGATTACGTACCGCATTTGTATATGTTACTGTACTAGTATGCAGTCGGTTTGTCGCAAGTGGAACCTCCGTAGGCAACAGGGGCACTTTCGCCGCGGCCACCACATCTGGCTTGTTCAGCCTCATAGCCTTTAATCACAACCTCAAGTCCTCTTCAGCCGAGACTATCACATTCTGTAACTGGACTCGTTGAAGTCCTTGCACGGCAGCGGGCCAGGTTGTCGTCATCATGGGCGCCGACTTTTCCGCGATCAAGGTGAGCAAGACAAAGACACAGACATTCAAGAGATCAGTCACGATTCTATGCTGTTCGTTACCCAGTCACTAACCTCTTCGGACACATATAGACATTAATTGTCCCTGCGATCATAGCCCTGATTCTATACCTCGTATTAACCTTCGCCGTCATTCCCATCTGGCAACGACACCGAAACCGCTACAGCCAATATCTTCCGCTCGAGACGATAACCGATGGAGCATCATCCCTGCGTGCACGCCTCACCGATCGCATTACTACATGGTTTATAACTTCGGCGTGGAGGGCCAGACTTCAAGATCGCATCGATGTGGCTGATAACCGCCCAAGTACTGACTTTGATTCGGATGACGGGGAGGAGCTGAACGAAGTGGATGAAGCTCTCAGGAGGGCTCTGGAGCGCCGTGAACAGCCTACAATCGACGATAGCAATAGGAGGCTAAGTAGAGAGTCAGTGACCGTATCCTCCCCCCCCCTCAAGCTTCCTGAGGCTAAAAATGTGTACAGTCTGGAGCAGGGCTTTCGGGACGATAGCGACGAGGAGATAGATGATCGCACGGGGAGGTAACATGTTAGCTTGGCTAAGGGTATTTACGGCAATAAGCACAATTTCGAGTCCATAGACAACCGACAAAGAAGGTACATGCAGGATCATATTGGAGTAATGGCATGACCAAAACATTGAAGTTACGGGGTTTGACTGGGTTTTCTTGGACATGGTATGTTAGGGGAAGCACGGCAGAGTACATGGTCATGGGAACACTTCCTCGACTTGAGCAGGACCGAGTAATACCATGAGGCGCTACTTTCGAGATTTGTGATCTTGTGTTTCTATTTGCTACCGATGAATACAACCTCTATTGCCATACTTCGGTGTAGCACTTTGACTGACTCAATTCTTTTCAACTCTCTCAAACTGGTGATATATGATTGACCAGCAGCTGGCTTCGCTCGGCGGGATCAACTCTTCAAGACGCCGAGATTCTCTCAAGCATTCTGACGAGTGGCCTATATCAGATTCCGACCCTCCACCATCACGGCACATTCCGAATTCCCATATCAGCTCCGGTATGTATGACGATCCCGCCTTGTTTACCCACGTGGTGCCCCGGAACAGCGGGTCCGGCATCGTGGGGTTGGTTCCCCCACACGGTCTCGGAGGCTCCACTAAAGTGTACCCCGTCACCGTACCAAAGTTACCGCCCGGTATGAACCGTTCGCGACTGCCGTTATCCATGATAACGACCAAGATTTGCGGGCTTCCGAAGATCAACGTGGACCGGGACCTGGAGCCAGACGGAGCCTTTGAACCCACCGGCGCAACGAACTTTATGATCTTGAGATGGCAGCAGTTCGTGACCGTCTTGGGCAGCAAATTCATTAATTGTTTTATACACCAGAACGAAAGCTCGTTCACGGATGGATAGGAAAAAAAACAAAAAAAAACAAGCCGATTGCCGCGCCGAGACACCCTAATGTCCCATCGTTAGTCGCATATGCGGGGCAATTTTATTTTTGTAGCCCGCAACCCGCACTGAATGCCGCTTGTCAGTCTCCGATCTCCGATTTGCGCAAGATTGACCAGATACTTTCTGTCAAACTGAACTTGACATCTTTTCTTCTACGGCCAACTTCCTAACCCGTACCCTTCTGGCATATCTGACTACATATTTCTCTTTCTTTCAAGCTGGATACTTTTGTTTACACTGTAGCATATTTTCTCATCTAACCCCATCTCTCATACGTTTTCGCCCTCACTGGCCCCGTGTACCTGACTTATAAAAAGCGAAGAACGGCCATCCTTGTCCGGTTCCAGTTGTTTCCTTTGGACTCTTTCTTTCTTTGGGTAATCCAAATTCTTTTTCCGCATGTTGGCGCGCCCGAATCCAAGGTAGCAGCCACAGTATCACCCGGATACACACCCAGGACACCCACACATCGCCCACATAAACCAGAGACAATGACGACACCCCAAGAGCAGGCCATCGCCTTCAAGAACGAGGGCAACAAGGCCTTCGCCGCCCACGACTGGCCCAAGGCCATCGAGTTTTACGACAAGGCCATCGAGCTCAACGATAAGGAACCTACCTTCTGGTCCAACAGAGCCCAGGTTCGTGCTCCTGCCCCCGTCGCCTACGTCGCCTCCCGGACAATCGCGCTTTTTTGAAGTGGTCGCGTGACAACTAACCGCGATTTCTTGCTCCGTCGCATAGGCCCATCTTAAAACAGAAGCATACGGATATGCTATTCGCGATGCCACAAAAGCCATTGAGCTCAACCCGGGCTTCGTCAAGGTACGTCCAAGCCCTTCCTGGCTGACATTGCCGCAGTCTTATCAATCTCTCTGGAGACAAGTCGCAAATGCAAACAGTAGCTAATCCGAACCCCTCCCTTCTGTCTAGGCCTACTACCGTCGCGCTACCGCCTACGCCGCCATCCTGAACCCCAAGGAAGCCGTCAAGGATTTCAAGACTTGCGTCAAGATTGCCCCCGATAACAAGGATGCCAAGCTCAAGCTTGTCGAGTGCGAAAAGATTGTGCGCCAGCTCGCCTTCTTCGCCGCTATCGAAGTCGGGGATGAGCTGTCTGCTGCTGAGGGCCTCGATGTCGAGTCCATGGCAGTGGATGCTTCTTACGACGGCGTGCGCCTTGAAAAGAATGAGATGACACAGGAGTTTATCGACGACATGATTGAGCGCTTCAAGCGCGGCAAACTGATCCACAAGAAATACGTTTACCAAATCATCATCGCCGTCAGGAACATTGTATATAACGAGCCCACCATGGTTGAGGTGGACGTCCCGGAGGATGTGCAGTTGACAGTTTGCGGTGATACCCACGGTTGGTTTGCCCTTGCATGGCCACCTCCGAGCTGATGGTTACTGACAAATTGTGAATAGGCCAATATTTCGATCTGATGGAGCTCTTCAGGTTGAACGGTTTCCCTAGCGATAAGCACTACTACTTGTTTAACGGCGACTTCGTTGACAGAGGTTCCTGGTCGACCGAAATTGCCCTCCTCCTTTATGCCTACAAGTGGTTAAGGCCAAACGGCTTCTTCATCAACCGCGGAAACCACGAGACAGACGACATGAACAGGGTGTATGGCTTCGAGGGCGAGTGCAAGCACAAGTACAACGAGAGGTAAGCGAGTCGAACTCTTTGCGCCCATTCGTTATGCGACATCCTGAATTTTCGAGCACACACCAGCTGACATATCTAACCTTCTTCTCTTCCCAGAACCTACAAGCTCTTTTCGGAAAGTTTCTCGGCCCTCCCGCTCGCCACGTTGATTGGCAAGAAGTTCCTCGTCCTCCACGGCGGTCTCTTCTCGGACGACAACGTCACGCTCGACGACATCCGCAAGCTCGACCGTCACAAGCAGAAGCAGCCCGGTCAGGCTGGTCTCATGATGGAGATGCTCTGGACAGATCCCCAGCCGTTCCCTGGTCGCGGCCCCAGCAAGCGCGGTGTTGGCATGCAGTTCGGTCCCGACGTTACCAAGCGTTTCTGCGACAAGAACGGTTTGGAGGCCATCATCCGCAGTCACGAGGTTCGCATGGACGGTTACGAGGAGGAGCACGACGGAAAGTGCATCACCGTCTTCTCGGCGCCCAAGTACTGCGATATGACGGAGAACAAGGGCGCTTACATCAACATCGGTCCCGATTACAAGTTGAAGTTCTCGCAGTTCGATGCCGTGCCGCATCCCAATATTAAGCCCATGGTGAGTCTTCTTGACCTCTGTGACTGTCGCTACCGTACTAAAACTAACCCTTTTTCTTAGGCATATGCGCAAAGCTCTGTCATGTCGTCGCTGATGTAAAAGTTGGATGTATTTGTATAGCACAACAGAAAATAAAACGGCGTGAATACCTCGGGATGCTGCGTAGATCGGGCATGTTTTGCAAGGAAAATGGTTCTGTTTAGGCTTTCGATTGCATGTGATTAGGCGTCGCGCGCAGGAGTATCGGGGTTATGGTGTTAGGGTTCTTCTTCTTCTTGTCTTGATGATATATGTTCCTTCTGGTGTTATTTGGATTCCATAGTGATGATATCTTCTAGTTTGCCAATCGACAATCTCGATGTTGCCTCGTTCATAACTCCGTCTGCATGGATCCGCGACCTTTGCGTAAAAGCCGAGTCTTCTGTCTTCTCATACGGGACCATCACAATTATGTACCGCACACAGAGATGGGAGCGAGTAGTCCGTATGACGCTCTTGGAACCTCGTGTACAGTCGCTGACCCAGATCATTCGCCGCGAGGGCTGTACCGATTTAAGCCAATTCTTTCTCCACAGAGATGGCCGTTGAACCAGGACGAGTATACAGTCATCTCCCTCCATCTTCCTCACATTTTCCCTTTCCTGAAGCTGCCGTAGCTACAGTCTGGTAAGTACTCAGCCTCGACCTCTTCCTGCCACAGAACTCTCCTAGCCGTCCAGCCCAGGAGCTCTTCCCATTCACTGCAATCCTCTCTTCCCAACTCCTGGACAAAACGGCCCTCCTTCTCCAAGACAACTGAAATAATCCCTCCCAACAAAATCTCACACCTCATGCCCATTCTCAAGCCTCACCCCCAAACTCTCCCTTCCCCCTCCCTCCCCACCAACGCCCCCAACCAATCCCCACACCCCACCACCCTCATCAACATCTGTTCTTCCCCTCCCACATTATGGCCCGGGTAAGCAGTGACCGCCGCCGCAAAAGCCGCCAAATCCTCCCTAGGCACGCGAACCCAGCACTCGGTGCCCTCGACTAGCAACATGTCGATGGCCAGCGAGGCGCCGGTGTCGCCGAGGAATTGGCGGAGGGCGGTGGTCAGGTAGTGCCGGGCGGTTAGGGTGTCGAGGGAGGGGGTGTTTTGGGAGGAGGATGGGAAGGGGGAAACCAAAGAGAGGTGGGCGTAGGAGAAGACGGGGGAGCGAATGGTTGTTTGGGTGAGGGTCTGGGATTTTGATGATTTGGTGGGTTTGGTAGTGGTGGTGGTGGTGGTGGTGGGAGGGTCGATATCCATTTCTGTTGACATTTCGAGTGTCTTGGTCGTGGTGGTGGTAGTTGTGTTTGAGAAGGTAGATTCGATTAAGTTGGTGATTTGAGATTGTTGCTGCTTCGCTTTAGCACTCTTTCTGTTATTTTTCTCTTTCTCTTTGTATGCGAATGGAGGTCAACGTTCCGAACGCTGGTATCGATGAGATATGATCAGAGTTGAGATTGAAGTGACTGCTTTGGAGTTTGCATAGCCAGTAGTAAGGATGATAGATTCTGTGAAGTTGTAAGTGGAAGATTTTGAGTCGCGAGCCGTTTGCGATCCGAAATGAATGTTTCGAACTTGCTGCATTTCATCTGAACTACAACATCTGATAATTTTGACATTACCCTTCCACATGCTGGAATCTCAATCACCACATTAGACATCTCGAATTATTCCTTTTCAAAGGTCAGAAACATCCTAGCTAGCTGCATCCAGGATAAGACATGCTGCGATGATGTTTGCATACGTCTGTCTGCTTTTACACGATTTTCTGTTGTATGTACCCATCAGGGACCCACCTCGATAAACGCATATCGCTGATAACCACACTTGTCGTCTGGGCAGTCTGTACTGAGCTTTCCACTCCCCTAAATGCCTAGTATCAAATGAACAAGCTAGACAAGAGACAGGGAAGAGGGTCTTGTAGGTCAACCAAACAACCTACTTCAGTTTGCACCCCGACTCTCGTGGCCTCGAGGACAGCCTGCATTCTCCCTCCTTGATTGTAACGCTTTTTGGAGTTCCACTTCTAGCAGCACGAGCGCTATTTATCACATGTCCTCTAGGACCTATTCTGGTCGTCTCGATGTCGTTCCATCATCTTCGCTAGGTCCATAACTCTCACTAGAAATCCAAGTGGGCATATCGCTGTCACACCCATAGAGGTGATTCGGAATACCCTTCCTCAGATTTAGAGGTATTGTCCCGCTCACTCCTATCAGGCTTATTACTGTCCCACTCATCCCCGTTGGGCCTATCACCGTCATACCCATTAGATGTACTGCACTCTTCTTCCTCCGAGTTACTCCTATGGCTCTCGGCATGGCAACTATCAGAGCTTTCTACACCAAGCGAAGAACTCTATCTTCGCGCATAAGCATCGCGGTCCCGACCTCGATCGCGGTCACGGACTGGGGATCTGCTGCGTGTTCGGCTCCTCGTCCTGCTGTCCCGGCTCCTAACGTCATATTCTGGCCGTCTCCTATCCCGGTCCACTCCACCTCGTCTGTCATCCCAGTCATCACGGCGGCGCCAGTCCTCTCGGCGCGGCGCGGGTCCGTCGCGGTCGTAGCTGGGGATGTAAGTGTCTACGTTGCTCGGACCACCTCCCCCTCCGGGCGGTCCACCGGGACCTCTACGTGGTGGACGGTCACGGTACCCATCGGTGTGGTCCATCGGCCCGCTGCCATGGTAGTCTGCGGGCATCGGAGGTCGTGGAGGCAATCCCCGTGCACTATGCCACGAGGGAACTCGCTCGTCGCCTGGTGGGGGACCACGGTGGTATGGCGGGTATCTGCCGCCGTTTGCCCCATTACGACCACCACCGCCGTAACCATCCCTACCGCTAAATCCGGTATCTGGGCCTTGGCTATTAACAACAGCCCCGCGGCCCACTGTGCCTCCCTTAGGCGCAGGTGGCAATGCCGCTTTCCTGTCTTGAAACTTGCGCCTGTCGAATTCGTGACTCTCCTCGAACGTTGGTAAATCGCCAGGTAGAGCTGGTAGTGGCGCAGTCCGGAAATATGGGTGGTTGAGAGCATCAATCGCGTTGATGCGTGATCTCCAGTCAAGCTTGAACAGCTCCTTAAGCAGCGAAATAACCACGGGCCCGTGCTTCTCAAATCTGCGTGCCAGATTTCCTGGCCTAGGCTTTGACGAGAATGCCTGGCCACCGGGTAACGCCCTCCATCCCGGCATCGTCTCCTCAGATGGTGTTCCGCAGAGGTCCCAAACAAGCTCTAACTGGTGAAGATCGCTTTCGCCCTGTAGGACTGGCTTTCCCTCCAGCATCTCTGCGAATACGCATCTGTAATGGTTGTTAGCATGAACGAGAGCGCATCTAGGGAACAGGTCTAGCCTTACCCAACACCCCACATATCTATCGCTGTGGTATACCTTTTGAGATGCATCAGAAGCTCGGGAGGGCGGTACCATCTGGTCACCACCAAGCTAGTGTAGTCACGCTTCCCCTCGCCACTTCCCTTCCCGGGTTGGGGAATGTCGCCCTCGTAATGCCTTGCTAGACCAAAGTCGGCAATCTGTAGTACACCCTTGTTGTTGATGAGAAGATTGGCCGCCTTCATATCTCTGTGCAGAATGTGGTTCGCGTGCAAATACTTGAGACCTTCTAGCAACTGCAGCAAGTAACATTTGACTTGTGGTTCTGTGAAGCGAACTGACGGGTTATCGAGCAAGCCGGATAAATCGTGGTCCATGTAGGGTGTGACCATGTATACGATAGGTCTTGTTCGCTTGTCGGCTGATGACAGTGTTTGCTTTAGTAAGGGCCATCGTCATTGTAGCTCATGGCAGGTTGACCTACTTCTGGGTGGATGCTCAATCGCCATCTCCTCTAGGCGCAAGACGTTTTTGTGCGAGAGAAGCTTGAGCAACTTGATTTCTCGAAGAGCAGTGATGGGGAACTGATGGGCAAGTCAACGTTAGAGACCGTCGAAACCAAGACCGAATCGAAGGGCAAGCGCGGTGACGAACCCCATCTCTCTCGTTGTGCATGATGATCTTCTTGAGTGCAACCAGGGCGCCCGTTTTCCTCGACCTCGCGCGGTGAACCTCACTGAGCAGGATAGTAGTGTCAATAATCGCAATGATTGCTCTGGAAAAACACACGATGAACACATACCCAAAGGTACCCTCGCCCAGTTTACCCAGGACTTCATAGTCGGCAATCCTAGAGCAGCCCACGAAGCTGCCCCTGTCCCTCTGGTGCGCAAGCGCAAAAGCGCGAGGAGACATGACAGGGCCTCCGCCGCCCTCCTTTGCCTCGTCGATGCTCATCGTGTAGCACTCTTCTTCTTATTTGTATGAAATCTTTTTGGCGACACTCGCTTGAGGTTGAGGGGCCAAAGGCCAGTGTTGTGTTGGAAGCTGCGGGACGTTGTTTGGCTTCGTGTATGGATATCGTCGGCGTTTGGTTTTCCGGTTGCAAAAGCAGAAGGGAAACAGGAGGATGGAAGGAATCCTCTGTCCCTTTGCGCAAGCGTCGGTTGCCCTGTGTCTGCCGGCTGTTGGTGAGTTACCTGGCAGTTTGTGCTGTCAGGTGTAAAGCAAAGACATGAAGCGACATGCGAATTTGCCGGTTGGTGTTTGGGGGTTCACCTTTGGTTTTCATTCTTGGACTTTGTGATATATTCGGCTGGAAGGGAACAAAATGCCCCGTCGCCTTCACAAGACTGGAGGCGCGCTCTACCTACGGTACCCTAGTAGTGGCAGGCCGGCCCCCGTATCGGGTCCATGCTTAGCGTGTGTACAATGCACGAGCTCACAGCGGAAAGTACCCCAAACCCAGGCCGTAACCGTAGCGGTACGTACCTCTCAACGAAGCTTCCACAGGGCAGTTCTACCCGCCCGTACCTAGCGCGTCTTCCAAGCGACGGGAACCTCGAGCGGTAAAAAGCCGATGGGTGGGCAAGAGGTACCTCTATGCAGACCATGACGTCTCCAACTCATCGCTTGTACCTTCGTACCCTTTATCCCTTCCACAAGTGACAGCAAAATCTGTAGCCTCAGAATTCAGGCAGCCAATGATTGAGAACCTCAAAAAGGTAGAGGTACCTCGCTACTTACAACCACGCATCCTCCAGTGGTACGTAGCCCCAGGTGGTCAGGATCCCAAAGGACGGACGACTCCATCTCCGGTCTCCCCCCATCGTCGCAAAACCCACGCCCTCCCGTCAGAACCACAAGGTGAGAGCTCCACCACCACCACCAACCCACCTGGATCATGTCTGTGTGAATGCGCAATTGAATAACTAACAAACACCAAATTGTCCTTGGGAAAAAAAGGGCTACTGCATATTCCACACAATGGCAGGCGATGGAGAATTCGAGCGAGTACCTCGCCCCGATAACTACCCTCACGGGCCCGAGTTCCAGCCGCGCACGCTGCACCAGAGGTTGCAAGGGAAATGGTGGTACCGCGTGCCTCCCAACCACAGCAAACCCATCTACCAATTCCTGAGCATTGGCCTTGGTGCATCGATGTGGTTCTGGGTAAAACTTCCTTGTCATCACGAATCTTGCGTATCCCGGACAAGTAACTGACTCGTGCTCGCCCTATGCGTTTACCAGATCATGTACCGGGCAAAGAAGGACGGGGCCGTTCTCCTCGGCTTGAAGCACCCTTGGGATCACTGAAGGAATGGTATCGACGCGAATCTTCAACGACGTGGAAGTGACTATAAGGACTGCGTTAAGACTTCTACGAAGCGACATGGTGGCTGGAACAGAACATCATCGACTGGCATGGGAACTGGACCAACAGAACAGGTATCGGCCCGTATAACAGAAGGGCGTCATCATCAGTCATCATTCATCAGGTCTGAAGACAGGCCGCGGATCGCGTCAGTACAACAGTCAGGCGCATCTTGAATGAAATAACTATATAAAGGGGATAGACATGACGTGTGATCTCTATGTACGCCATGTTAACCTTCACCAATCATTCATGGGAACTTCTGACCATGTTGACCTTCACACACTCTCAAGTTCTGGCTTCAAAGGGCTAGCAAGCCGAACACCTGCATTGCCATATCTGGCTTTTCGAACAAAGCATGGGTGACCCCCCACGTGTCGCCTCCGTCCGTCTTGAACATTTCCGAGCTGGCCAGGTGGAAGATCTGCCAACGGTTGTGCCAAACGACGGCCTTTTCCTCGCCGTATGTCTCTGCCAGGTGCGGCATCATCCTCTCCTTTCTGGCCATGGTGTTCTCGAGCCAATGCTGTGTGAAAGTTTTATGTGTTAGCCCCTGTCTCGGGTCCAAATGTACATGTTACGCTCTTCAAAGCATCGAGGGGTCCGAGTCGGTATTTTTACCTCGAGAGACTTCGAGTAGTGGTATCCATTGATCCACCAGTGCTTCTTGATGACCAGGTCCTTCTGGAAGTACAGAAGGAGATCTGATGAGGGCATGGTTCCTCCAGTGAAGAAAGTGCGTGCCATCCATCCATCCTCGTAATGGTACGGCGTCGTACGGTGGCAGAAGTGGTGGACGAGAAGCTGGCCACCGGGACGAAGGGCTCTCGACATCTTGGCCATCAGACCTTCGTAATTCTTCATGTGCTCGAACAGCTTTAGGGCCTTCATGTCAATCACTACTTCTTAAAAGTATCTTGGAGAAAACCCCAATTGATTGCTCACCTCGACGGACAACGCCCGGTCGAAATAGTCGCGCTCAAATTCATAGTCGGTACAATTTCCAGTGATGATCCGAACATTCATCAGGCCCAACTCCTTTGCCTTGGCGTCGATGTACTCCTTCTGAGTGCGTGAATTGGAGAAGCCTACGACCTCCATGCCTGGAATCTTCTCGGCGAAGTACAAGACGGCAGCTCCCCAACCGCATCTATGACTGGGTTAGGCTCTTTCTTCTTCGTGTTTGCAACTCATGCGTAGAATGTTTAGTCCGATCTTCATGAGTGATAGTGAACTGACCCGAGATCCAGGAACCTCATGCCAGCCTCCAAACCCAGCCTCTCGATGTAGAGGTCAAGCATCTTCTCCTCGGCCTCTCCCAATGACTCATTGCCGGTGGGGTAATATGAGCAGCTATACTTGATCCTGGGACCAAGCATGTTCGCCATGATTCCTGTGGCGATCTCGTAGTTTTGTCTGTTTGCGGCGTCCGTCTCGATAGCGATGGGCTGATGGCGAACAGTCTCGAAGAAGTTCATCTTGTACGCCAGAGTCTCGGACCAGCGCGAGATGGGAGCAAGGACGCCCGGGAGGAGAGCAATCTTGGGCGGAGCCATTTCTTCGAGTTTGGCTTTCAGGCTGGAATTGCCCTTGGCAGACACTGTGGCGATGACCTTGTCCGGAAAGGGAGGAGTGATCTCATCGAGGCGACGGCGCAGCTCCCTGCGGATGAGCACGCGAATGACAGCATGCGGGAGGACACCGCTGTCCAGGATACTGTCGCACCAAGTGTCATTGAGGTTGTCGAGAAGCTTGCCTACAGGAACCCATGTCAGACCGGATCTCCTAAATCCACATATGTGTGGTGAGCAGAATGTCAACATGTACTCACTGATAAAGGGGAACATCTCGTCTGGTGTTGAACGTTGGTGTTAAACAGGATGCTACAGTCCGTGTGGACGCTGGACGGTGGACGTGTCCTAGAGGGAGAGTGAAGCGTGAGTGGGAGATATCCTCTAGGTGTGTGTGCGACGAGCTAAAAGAACGAGTGAGTGGTAGTTGCTGCTATGGTAAAGACATGACCGCGTTCTTTCGGAGACAACGAGGTTTCTATAGGATTTTGTTGTGGATGCTCGAGTGTGTTGCTGGAGGAAAACAGAAAGAACGAGGCAGGACTGCTCAAGGACTGAGTTCTTGATAGATGGACAAGTGCGGTGAGTAACGCCTTCCAGTCTTCTGAGTTGACCACTTGTGGCTTCCTTTCAACGGAAGGTGCGATGAAAGCACGAGATACTACCGCCCAGCAATCGCGGCCGCAAAACGCGTCGTTTGGAACGGGGAATGGTGAGAGTTGAGCAAGTTAACGTGTCTCATCATGTTCCTTCCCGGGCGGGGAATGCGTCGTCTTTACATTAGAGGCAAGCACTCAACACATGATTGATTATGAAGAGTTGGGATGGGATGGCTTGGGATGGGTCTAGATTCGAGGTCACAAAAAGCTGGGATAAAACAAAGATGAGCACACGGTATTGCGTAGAAGATCCTCCAAAAGCAGGAACGCTTCGGATAGGGTATGATAAGGGCCGTGATTACAAGGTGAACGCGGATATAGTCGAATCTTTGACTAGATACGCTTGCTTGGAGCCTGAAAACTCACCGGGGGACGAAGACATTCCTATCCATGCCTGAAACGCCTCGGCGCCGTCCAGGCCTACGTTCGTATATACAAAGTGTCAAAAGTGGGAGAGAGACGACATCCCTCAGTTAGCAGATCATCCTCTCCAAGATGACCTTATACTCCTTCCTCTTCTTGGGCTCTCTGGTCAACGACTGACTGGCCTTTCCAATCAAGCGCGCAAGCCGTTGGAACATGACGTGCTCGCCAACCCAAGCCAGAACGAAATACATGATGCCCAGGGTAAATATGAACATCTTGAAGTCCCAGCTGATGGGAGTAAGGTCCATCAGACTCACCAGCCCGGCAGCCGGACCGAGGATCATGTATTCCGTGAACGCAAGAGTGGCAGCAATCGCAGCAACGAAGGGCCCTATGAACAAAAGTTAGCGTATGTGATTAGGTAAGTGACAGTCAAAACTTGAATGGGGGAAACGTACAGTTGTTCCAGGGAGGTTGCCTGAAGGGCCTGCCCGCATTGAGAACCACCCCTGCGAGTATATACTCAAAGCAGGACGTCAAAAAGAGAGCGGTATTTTCAGAATTCCGAATGTTGACCTTCTCGTGTTCTACCTTGGGTGGGATGAACCAGGGTTGCTCGCGTACCGCGATGAACGCCATAGTTTGGATGAAGATGCAGATAAACATTTGTCCAAGAAGTGGCACCAACACCTTGCGAGAGACCAGGTCGGCCGTCGGTCTCTTACGACAGAGCTCTGGGAATGGGCCGGCCCAGCTCATAAAGACGGCGATCGGTAGAATGAGGGCCAAGTCAATGAATAAGAACTGAAAATCGCCCAGATTCGATGCTGACGCGTACAGGAAGCTGACTGACGTGAACTGGATGGCTGAGTACAAGCTCATGTACTTGAAGCAACTAAAGCTGGTGACAAGCGCGGCTCGGCCTTCGCGAATCACCTCTGGGACGCAGCGGATGTCGAACACTCTGGATGTGAAAGGAGCGGCCACCGATGCCTCAGCCTCGGAAAGTGAGATACCGACATCGGCGGCCTTCAAAGCGCCGCAGTCGTTGGCGCCGTCGCCACAGAAGCCACAGCAGTAATCTATGCTCTGCAATTTTTCAACAAGCTCATGCTTCTCGTCAGGAGACATGCGGGCAAATACCTTGCCAGTGACGAGCATTCTCCGCATAACTTCTGGAGGCGCATAGTCAATCACCCATCGGAATACATCGCCGCTGACAGCCAAAGAATAGTTCCGTAGGTTAGAAATGTCGTATGGAAGAGAGATGTCTCCCTCTGGCGGTGGTGGTAAGGGGAGCAAGGTGCGGTCGTCCAGCTGGTAAATCGGATTGTCGATGCTCTCCCATTGTAACTTGGCGTTAGGATCTCTTGAATGACCGGCGACAAAGCGACCAACGAAGCAGTGAGCTGTTTTGTTAATCAGACTGCACTCCCGCGCAACGCTGATCGCAGTAAGAATGTTATCTCCAGTCACCATGACCGATCCGATATTCGACTCGGCGAGCTCTTTCAAAACCGGGGCCGTTGCAGGCTTCAACTTGTTCTCGAAGATGATAAATCCGACGAAATCCAGATCTGATTCGACGTTATGCCGCGTCATTTTCTGAGCTTTTACCCAGCTGAGTTTGGGAATGTGCTTGGTAGCGCAGCCGATGACTCTGTATCCCTTGTGCGTATAATAGTTGAGTTGATCATCGTAGTCCGCGGGAACTAAAAATTCAACACGCGTTAGTAACTCTCAGGGCCGATCATTCAAGACTTGACCTACATGATTCCGGCTTGCAAATGTCTCGCATGCACTCTGGCGCGCCTTTAACGAAGATGTCTCCGCTCTTCTGGCCAAAGGTCTTAACTATAACACTTGCTCTTCGGAGCTGAGACACAAACTCGAAAGACTTAAGAACACCCAGCTCGAATGGTGCACGCCCGTTTTGCGCAGCATCTTGCCGGTCGGCATCAGTGTAGCCCTTGTCCACGGTTGGGGGCCTGGCGATGGATGGCTGCAACGTTCCTTGCTCTTCCCCATCCGTAGCGCCTCCTCCCTCGTGTCCTTCTTCGAATGACCATCTTGTGAACTCGAACATCTTGAGATCCAGGGGATCACCAACAAGCTCATCATCTATTGACCGGAGAGAGTGGCACGTTGCCATCGTGTACAGTGCCGCCTTCAGCGTATCGCTCGAATCTCTGATTCCGGTGCCGTGATCTTGACGAGGCACAAGATCGTCTGGGTTGTCAAGGATGTCGCTAAACCGATTGTTGGTTCGATCAACCACCCGAACCCCGAGAACATCAAGGCCTTCCTCAGTCAGAGTTCCTGTCTTGTCAAAACACATAATGTCTAGTTTTCCACCGACATTGACCCGTTGTGGGCTAATACAGAAGATCTTCTTTGACTTAAGACGGCCGAGTGCGAAGTTTGTACCAATGGTGAGTGTTGCAGGCAACGCAGGAGGGACCACGATAGTGATCAGATCCAAGGCCCGAACAATGATGAGATGCCATGACAGGTTGAGCCGTATAAAGTTGATGAACGAGGCTGCAAACCCAACCATTGCAACGCATGCCATGACAGAGATATACCGGAACGAATCGCGGTAAAACTTGAAGCCCGACGGCTTAGGGAAAAGCATGGACCGAACCAAAGCTCCTTTGGTGGTGTTAAATCCCGTTCTGACAACAAGAGCGAGGGCAACAGCCTCCTCATTGTGGTCATCTTGAGGCCTGCGAGCACGGATGATCTTTGTCCCGCAAAACAAGAAGTGTTTCGCCACTTCTGGAAGCACGGTAGAGGCACCAAGGTCCAAATTCCGGAGCGACTGATCGGTTGCCGGGGTCTTGGAGACTGGCACAGATTCACCGGTGAGCATGCTCTCGTTAACGATGCAGTCGCCGCCAAGTAGAAGACTGTCCGCAGGAAACTGGCCGAGACTCGGATCGCTGACCTCGTAAATGTCACCAGGTACAAGGTCACTGGAAGAGACGTGGCGCCCTATACATGTTAGCAGCTTGCAAAACCACTCGGAAAGGGTGTAGTCTCGAACTTACAAAAGCCATTCCTGAGCACCCTGACGTCGCATACGAACCGGGAAATTTCCCGTAGCCTCTTCATTGTCGATTTGGTTTCAATAAGAGTAGCTACAATGCTGCCAACTGACATGACGAAAATAGCAACGGCGTAATAGTAGTACTCATCAACTGACCATAATATCAAACTGGCAATCTGGAACACATAGAAGGGGTGGAAGACCTTGGAGTCATAATGTCAGCTCGTATGCGCCGCAACGACATGAAGAGGAACGCCTTACCTCGTCGGCCAAGAGGCGGAAAGTAGATTTTTCCTCAATGTCAATTAGATTCCCCCCAAAGACGGCATCTCGATGGCTCTTCTCGTCGCTGTCGATACCAGAGCGAATTGTTTGGACGTCTGTCCAGAGCGGATCCTTCCAGCCATTGCAAAGAATGAACTTATCCTTGAACGGGTGGTAGAAAAAGCGCACATAGCGGTAGTTGAGCATGCGGAGGTCCTGAAGGATTGGGTCATAGTCTTCATCCATTGAATAGTTGGCCAGTTTACCCGGGGTTCCGAAGACAGTCGAAAGGACACGTCCATAGGGCTTTGAGTCAACGTTAAGGATGGCCATCTCGTTCCATGAGTTTTCAATAACCACCCACTGACAGTCCCGTAATGAAGATGGTCGTCCGACCAGCTTGACGTGCCATCTGGGTACCCATCGAAACAAAAGCCAGCCCAGTCCAAAGGTTGATAAACATATGAGGATGTACACAGCCAGGCCGAGAGTGCTCGTGCGGAATCCAGCAATGGCGATATAGAGATCTTCGTTCACCATGTATACTTTTTGGCTGGTACGGTTTCCTCCATGCCCGCTGCTTGCTGATAAACCGCTGTCTCTGCGCAGAATCCTGCTATGTCCAGATCTCCTTGACTGAGTTGAGGACCGTCTGTTGAGCATGTAATCGTCGTCTGGAGCTTGGCGCTCCAAGTCTGATGAACCCATCTCTGATGCGCCAACGTCGCCTTCATAGTCATCTTCAAACGGTAGTTCGTCAAGGTCTTCGACCGATGCGACCTCGCCTGTCTCGAAATGTTCGTCGATGTCTTCTTGGTAGAAGGAGAAGCTAGTGGTGGAATCGGCGCGAGCTCGGCGGTGGTTGAATGCGGACACGCTGGTTGGGAGCGACTCTGCCATAGGACCAGAGTAGAGCTGTTGCCGCAAATGTCAGATACAACACAAACTGCACCACAAACGCGGGGGGAGAATGCGTACCTCGTCGTGTGCCATCTCGACATCCTCAAAGATGCTCGCATTGCTCTGGTTCGAGCCCAAGGTGTAGAGGCCTGGACGGTGATCGTGACTGGCGCGCCGGCGGTCAAAAGACTGCGATGACCGCCAGCTAGCGTGGTGGGCATCATCGCCGCCGTTCATGTTGGCGCTGTCCGTCGGTGTTGTTCCGAAGTTAACCCTATGTATGAGTTCAAACAATTTTTGATAAGTAACTGGCACGCATCGATATGGATATGCAATTGGGGAATGTCCAAGTAAGAATATGAGATTCTTGCCGCGACCCAGTCAGTCGTCCGAACTTGTAAGCGCAGATCTGTTTGGGAAGGTGATACCGATAAGAACATGACGTCGGTTTGTTTCGCTTAATACGAAGCCTCGCATATTGCATACTATACGTTTCGATTGATACACAATGTTGCTGGAACGGACTTGATCTAGCCGTTTCAGACTTTCAGACATTTTTACGCCAAAGCCGGCACTCTTTACACCTCCCTCACGATCAACCAACAATGTTGGCTTGCCGAAGACAAACCCTTTCCGTGGATTATCGAGGGAAGAAGCAACCAAATACCAATAACATGTGAAATCCTAAGGGATAGTCTCCCATAACGGCATCCTTTGCTTGACCACACGGTTACACAAAACAAGACATCAAGGTTCACACTAGATGTGGAAGCGAAGGACAACTATGTAGTAGTGCTTCTTGCGATCGCATGGATAACTTCCACGATACTTCCCTTACCATCTTTAACATTCAGGTGAGTGGATCAGGCTTTCCGCACGATGACTGGAGATGGGAAGGATGGGCTTCAGCTAGAATACTCTTGTCTGACTTCTTCGCATTTGTTGACCTGGACGCCGGAGTCACGGAGAAGGATCGGGGCCAGACCGTCCCAACGGGCAGCCAGCAAGTGGGGCAGTCATACCTAGGCATGGGATTTTTCTTTCAACACTGCCCGCCAATCGACTGCCAAGCATGTCCGCTAACGCTTGCCTACCTACTTACATACCTCTAGCCAGAAAGGTCGATGGCGGAGATGGGGGTCGCTACTTATCCACGATTTTCACGATAAGCACAGTGCAACAAGGGTCGTTCTGGCCCAAACCTTGTCGGCTTCAGTTCGCGATGGAGATTCGTGGGCATCGCGATGATCACTTGGCAGATGCCGCGAAACGGTCTCACTACACTACAACGTGAGAGAACGTGCTACATACTACCTACGTGCCCGTACGTGGTGTGCTGGGGTCACTGCAGCATCTCACCTGGACTTGGACGCCCACGACGGTCTACGGCCATGATGGTTCAGATCGGTCCGATGATAGTCGCTGAACCCAGCGTCGACTCATAAGTCATAAGCAGAAAAGTGTGCGTCAAGTTGCCTCTGCTGATGAGGTTTTGACTTGGTGAGGACAGAGTGAATCAGCAGAATTTTCAAGTTTGCCTTCCAAAACTTGGCTCTGGAGGCCTGATTGAGTTGAGAGTCTCTACACGTTAGAAGTAGATCACCGCAGCCCGACGCCGGTGAGAAGGCGAGATGTAAACACCCGTCCAATATTAACAGCACGCAGTTCAGACGAAAAGCAACTTCTAAACTATCTTGCACTTATGAGGTACCTTGTAACTAGTGTCTATGAAGCCGGCATGTCACCAATATCATTTACCCTACATCATGTCTCTGGCCGGGATCCCTGGAGAGAACGCTAGCACGCAAGACACGCCAGCCAAATGCTGAAGCATGTGGTGCCAGGAAGCGACGCGCGACAACCTGGAAATACACTACCTGAATGCCATGTACATGAACGGGCTTTGTACGATAAGAACAACAATGGCATGTTTAGGTTCATCTGGCTAGACGTAGCGAGGTAGGTACCTGAGGGGATTTTCAGTTCAGACGAGCAGACCGGGCATGCAATGGCCGAGTGTAGAGTCAAACAAGTGACAGGAGGAGCTTGACCCTAAAAAGACGTGACCCGTGACAATGGGCACCTTGCCTTTGCTGGAATAGAACTGAATTGAAGGTTAAATACCTCTAGGTGGTGTAGGGCAAGCGACAAGACTCATGGGCAGCAAATGGAAGTAGCGGACTGGGGCTGGGTGGTCGCCGGCGCAGTGCAGGCATCATGGAGTGGTCCAACGGGGCGCCTCCCGCTGCAGTGCCCTCGACCCGAGTGTCCTGCCCGCACTGGCCAGTGCCCCGCAAATTTTCATAGCAACCCCATTGATAGCTTTTCTCCCCTCCCGGTCCCCTCCAGACCCGACCCTCGCTCAACATTTCTTGCACTGCTGCACAACAAGCCTGGACCGACCGGCAACCACAGAACTTTTTGCCTTTCCCACCAGCACCGGGGCCCCTTCATCAATCTCAACACCCGACCGCCTCTTCAATCCAAATTTGCCCTTCCTTCTCCCATTTCTCCCTCCGACATCCACTGTACGTCGGTCGCAGGGTTCTACCACCGCTTCCTTCTCTGTATCCCAACTCATTTCCTTCTCTTGACCAGAACCAGACACAATGGCCGAGCCCATCAGAAACAAGCGGGCTGATCCCCCCATCGCTCCGTGAGTTTTCATCCCCAGACTTGATGGGATGCCCATCCCGAGTATCGCGTACCGTTACTGACCAGTCTTCGCTTCAGCACCCCCCAGAACACTCCTCTTAACACTGCCCCCATCTCGTCGCACGCTCAGCAGCCCGGTGTTGCCAGCATCAAGGAGGGTGAGTGAAAGATTTTTGCTGCTGCCGAGACTTTGGTAGTTCTCTGGGCTTGTCGCTAAACTTACTGTTCGTTGCAGAGGACCTTGACCGTGCCGCCGCCGCTTCCATCTTCGCCAAGGACCCCAGACTTGTGTCCCTTATCCAGGGCCGTCTCGGCTCTCTTGTCGGTCGTTCGTCCGGCTACATTGAGTCTCTCCCTACCGATGTCAAGCGTCGTGTCGCTGGCCTGAAGGGCATTCAGAAGGAGCACTCCAAGCTCGAGGCCGAGTTCCAGGAGGAGGTCCTTCAGCTCGAGAAGAAGTACTTTGCCAAGTTCACTCCTCTTTACCAGCAGCGTGCCGCCATTGTCAACGGCCAGACTGAGCCCACTGAGGACCAGGTCCAGGCCGGTGAGGAGGATGAGGAGGATGATGAGGAGACCGAGGCCGCCCCCAAGGAGGAGAAGGCTACCGAGTCTGCCGAGAAGGTTTCTGGTATCCCCGAGTTCTGGCTCTCTGCCATGAAGAACCAGATCTCCCTCGCCGAGATGATCACCGACCGCGACGAGGAGGCCCTCAAGTCCCTCACCGATATCCGCATGGAGTATCTCGACAAGCCCGGATTCCGCCTCATCTTCGAGTTCGCTGAGAACGAGTACTTCACCAACAAGACTATCACCAAGACCTACTACTACCAGAACGAGAGCGGCTATGGTGGCGACTTTATCTACGATCACGCCGAGGGTGACAAGATCAACTGGAAGGAGGACAAGGATCTTACTGTCCGCGTTGAGCAGAAGAAGCAACGCAACAAGAGTGAGTTGCAGTTCCAGCTTGTGAATTTTCTCAAACTTGCTCACTAACAAATTGCACAGCCACCAAGCAGACCCGCATTGTCAAGAAGACCGTTCCTACCGAGTCTTTCTTCAACTTCTTCTCCCCCCCTAAGGCCCCCACTGATGACGATGAGTCCACCACCTCGGATATTGAGGAGCGTCTTGAGCTCGACTACCAGCTCGGTGAGGATATCAAGGAGAAGCTTATTCCCCGCGCCATCGACTGGTTCACTGGCGAGGCCCTCGCCTTTGAGGAGCTCGACGAGGAGGACTTCGAGGACGCCGAGTTCGATGATGAGGATGATGAAGATGATGAAGATGCCAGCGAGGACCAGGATGACGAGGATGAGAGCGATGAAGACGATGTAAGACTTTCTGAATTTCCCCAACACATGCTATGCTTTTCAGGTATGCTGACAAATTTCACAGGAGGACGGCAGCAAGCCCAAGCAGGAGGCTGCTGAGTGCAAGCAGAGCTAAATGCTGATCGCTGAACGAACACGAAAATGATACCACTATACCACGCAGGCAAGGGGCAGAACGCCCAATGACATTTGGCGTCTGAGTTCCAAACTATTGAGGGTCATGTATGACCGTACCGGGGTGGCCGTGGGCTCAGGAAGAACAGGAGTTTGCGGATGGCCGGAGCTTGTGGTGGATTGATAACCATTCTACGGAATTTGAATTGGTCACATGAGGAGTTGGCTTCAGCACCTGCCTTGACGCTGTGGTTGTCTCTCATAATTCTTAGCAGGATAGTTCGTCCTGACCCCTGAAGCAGTGGCATGTCAGAGCGCAAGGATGGGAGCAGATATGCGAACTAAGCCGGAACAAGGGTCGATTTGTGCGTAAAGGGATGATATTATACGGGACAAAAGTAGTGATTCTACGAGGATTTAGGTGTTGATTTCATAGTACAGCATTGCAGGTGTTTCTACATCACAAACCGTCATCCATCAGCGTGACTCGATGTAGATTGTCTATGACTGTCAAGTTTAATAGGCCACGACACCAGAGGGCGGATGACTTCTCCAGGGGAGTTCTCAGATGGATGTAAATCGTCATAACCCTTGTTAGCCTCGCGTGATGTAGATAGAGTAAACCTCAACGGACGAAAGAGTAGCCGAGCTGAGGCAGTGCGTGCTTGTAAGGCCTGAAGGACGGGAGCTGGGCTTCCGGAAATTTAGTAGGCGATGTCTTTACTGACACGCAAGCTTGGCGGCTCCCGGTCGAGTTTGAAGGTAGTAAGTACCTCGAGGCTTGGAAGTAAACTAATAATGGTACCCAGGAACTTGTTACACTATTCAGTGCTTGGGACACGAGGAGAAATAAGAGACCATCTGCGCTGAATCGAGTAAGAGCTGTTTATATGAAAACAAACTGACTCGGACAATGGAAGTCAAGGGGACAACAAAGCCATGCCAGGTCGCTGTGGCAGTTTCCTCTACATTGTGCGGGCAGTCAGCTCGATTCTTGCGAGTCCTTCTTCTCCTGAGGTGGAAAAAAAGAGGAGCCCGGGCAAGAAGACGGGAGGTACGGATAGCATGGGAAGAACACCCACCACATCTCATATTTCCATTTTTACCTCTACGTAACTAGAGGTACCATCGTCAAAACAATACAGCCCGATTCTTTGTTCAGAGGGCTGTCACAGTGAGCAACCGACCAACATGCACTATCAACTGAGTGTTGCCTTCACAGCAGATCTCTTATTCATTCTACGATTCCAGTGGCGTAATTCGTCATCGTCAAGATTTTCTTTTGGTTGCCTGAGCTACCCACCGGATCCAGCCAGTAGGTGAGTGTTGTTTTGGGTTCCTATGTTGTTATGAGTCAAAGGCGACCCGCCGCCCGCGTTTTATGTACAGCGCTGTAACAGCCCCCTCCAAACCCGCGCAAACCCCACCACCTGGCAAGGATCGCACACAGTAGAGGCACCTTGGGGTACACAATGGTCCGGTAACAGGAGTCCACCTGGCTGTCCACACCTCTCTCCATCGAAACAGAAACGGCCCGGTGGCTGTTCGCTTTGCCCTTGCCGATTGACGGAGCCCAGAGATTCAGGAAAGACTTTAGCTTCGACTCATAACTTAAAGAGTCCCTGGTTGCCGCGTTTCTGCCAACTACACGCCATTCTTTTTTTTTGATTTATTTTCTCTGACCATCCCGACCTTGCTCCTCTTCCACTTTTCACCATGACAGTTCCCAGAGAAATTGCCCAGTCCACCGGTGACAAGACCGCCGCCCAGTTCAGCGTCTCTCCTTCAACCTTCCAGTCCCCCATCTCCAGTTCCAGCTTCATGGCGTCCGCACTCGCCCACCGCTCTGCGCCCAAGCAGCTCAAGCCCTTCAACACTGAGGACGTCAAGATTCTGCTCCTCGAAAATGTAAACCAGACCGGCCAGGACATCCTCAAGGCCCAGGGCTACCAGGTTGAGTTCCTCAAGACCTCCCTGCCCGAGGACCAGCTCATTGAGAAGATCAAGTAAGACTCTCTACGAAGCCGTGATCAACAGAAGCACACCTGACTAACGTGCTCCTCAAAGGGATGTTCACGTCATTGGCATCCGCTCCAAGACCAAGCTGACTGCCAACGTTCTTCGGGAAGCCAAGAACTTGCTCGTCATCGGCTGCTTCTGCATTGGTACCAATCAGGTTGATCTGGACTATGCTGCTCAGCATGGTATTGCTGTTTTCAACTCGCCTTTTGCCAATTCGCGCAGTGTCGCCGAGTTGGTGATTGCCGAGATTATCACCCTCGCCCGCCAGCTGGGCGACCGCTCCAACGAGATGCACCGCGGCACCTGGAACAAGGTGAGCGCCAAGTGCTGGGAGATCCGTGGCAAGACCCTTGGTATTGTTGGTTACGGCCACATTGGCTCGCAGCTGTCCGTTCTGGCGGAGGCCATGGGTATGACTGTCATCTACTATGACGTCGTTACCCTAATGGCCATCGGCACGGCTCGCCAGGTGCCTACTCTCGAGGATCTTTTGGCGGAGGCTGACTTTGTCACCCTCCACGTCCCTGAGACGCCCGAGACCAAGAACATGATCTCCAACGACCAGTTCGAGAAGATGAAGACCGGCTCCTACCTCATCAACGCCAGCCGTGGTACCGTTGTCGATATCCCTGCGTTGATCAAGGCCATGCGCAGCGGCAAGATTGCCGGTGCCGCTCTAGACGTTTTCCCCAACGAGCCGGCTGCTAACGGCGACTACTTCACCAACGATCTCAACCAGTGGGGCGAAGATCTGCGTGGGCTCAACAACATCATCCTCACCCCCCATATTGGTGGCAGTACTGAGGAGGCTCAGCGCGCCATTGGTGTAGAGGTCGCCGATGCCCTCGTGCGCTACATCAACCAGGGTGTCACCACTGGCAGTGTCAACGTGCCCGAGGTTACCATGCGCTCTTTGACGCTGGATGAGCCCAACCACGCTCGCGTCATCTACATTCATCGCAACGTGCCTGGTGTACTGCGCAAGGTCAACGAGATTCTCGCCGAACACAACGTCGACAAGCAGATTTCGGATTCCAAGGGCGATATTGCGTATCTCATGGCTGACGTTAGTGACGTCAAGCAAGACGATATCAAGAACATTCGCGACAGCCTGGATTCCCTCAGCTCGCGCATCCTCACTCGCATCCTTTACTAAACGGGAAGGATCGGAACAGTGTACATGGCAAGAAAAGGGGGTTAAGAGTTGCCTTGGGGTGCGGTCATGAGTCATGATATCTGGCGTCGCGGAGTCCGTCGGGTGGATGCACAAACAACGATTTCAACATGATCTCTTTCTCTCTTACGGTATGCCCACCCGGTGCGTGTGCGTCCCGAGGAAGGGGAGAGAAAAGGTCGAACATGACGACGTTCCTGGCACTGGTTCAACATCTAGTCTTTTTCATCAAGTTTTGTTTTTTTTGGGTCATTGGGAGCGCAAGTACAAAATACGGCATGGCAGGTTCTTAAAACAGGACAAAAGGGGAAAATGCCTTTGAACAAAGGCGTCGACAAGTCGATGGTGTGCATTCTGGAAAAGGATCGGAAAAAGGTATCATCACCTGGCATCGATATCCATCATGTTGTGACCAACAGTCAACGATTATACCTACTAGATAATACAGACATCTCTTCCAACATTTCTCGAGGCCGAGTGAGATATGGTACGGAAGTCCCGGCTTCTTCACATGCTGCTGTTACCACCATCGGATTTCCATCATTTCGAGTCTTTTTTCAATCTGTCGATTGGCTGCTGCGGCACAACATTCCCACTTCACCCAAGATTGCAGCTATTCAGCCAGGACGTCCCGGGCTTGGGACGCGGATAAGGTCGACGACGAGGTGTTGCGCACGGACTGCTTTTGTCAACTGGGTTTTACGGTAGAACATGCTGCACCCGCTTCTCCAGTTCTGTACACGTGCAGATATGAGGGTAACTCAGTGGCCTTCCCGTTCCGATCTGGAGGTGGAAGGAAGACATCATTTATATCCAGTGTCGTCTCTATCGCGGGTTAATGAAAAGTGCTTCAACCTTTCAGAGCTACAACTGATAATTGATATCAAGCGAGATCTCAATTGCGTTACTGACCAACGGATGGAATTATTAAACAGAACGGTTTGCTCAGGAAGCAGAACAGCATCGGGCCGGTATCATGTCAGTCACCGTCATGGGTGTCATTATCACCGAAACAAACTGATTCCAACACACCGGTGGATGACGTCCGAGTGAGGGACGGTGTTGACTCTGAATAGTAACAGTAGTCACTCGTCGTCAATCCGGCCACGGAGCAGACAAAAGGCGGCGACGACGCGGAGTCGGCGGCAAACCACCAAAAGCACCGCCTTTCCCCCCCTTTTTTCTCCCAAGTCCCAGGTCCCGATACTCGGACTGCCGGCCGCACGGGGGGGCTGGTGGGGCCCGTAAGTATGTAGTCGCCAACAGTTTCCACAGTCTTTGACTACTCGCCATTCGCTGGCGCTCTTTTTACCCCTGCAGATTCCAGAAAGAGGAGAAGAAGGAACTGAACGCAAATGCAATTGAAAGTCATGGTGCCAGACTCCTCAGTCCACCTACCAATGCCATATTGGTATTTACACTATGCCCCATTTTGAGTTTGCCCATCTCTCTCCTTTTCAGGCGGACAGGTTAATGCATCTCAACTGTTAACAAGCGGGCAGACGGGCCCGACGGGGACCCAGTTGGATGGCATATCGAACGAACAAATGAACGAACGAACGGACCAGTGCAAACAATTGGCCATGGGAGTCTGGGAAGATTGGGTCTTACTTCTGTGAGTTCCTTCAGGGAGTGGTGAAAACGAAATCCTACCCTGATGAGGGGTGCCGGTGAGCTGTCGGGGAGAAATACAGAAACTCAGGGGAGGACCAAAGACCATAAGAACGATGAAGCCATACAAATCAAGAGGCTATAGATCAGGAGGAGAAATATGGTCGTCCTCATAGGACATCCTGGCGGTTATTCACGCACTGGCGTGAGCCTCCATAGACACATTTGTACATCTCAAGGTAGAGTGTAGACGGAGACATCGTGACCCAACTTGTACATCATGTCGTCTTCCACTGGACACCTCTCCGGACAAGACAAAGGTAACCCTTATACGCTGCTTACCAGTAACCCATTCTTCTTCATCGCCTTGTCTGTGTACTATGTAGCTTCCACTTATGTAGAGTCGCGAGATTCCCAAGCATACCTCTAAGTATGTAATCTTCTTCGCAGTGTTGGTTAGTGCCCCCTTTTAAGGAGAGCCCTGCTCGTCCAGGCCATTTTGGAATTACGGCTCATTGGAGGGGCTCCATGGAGTCCAGCTCCCCAAGCCCACGAAAGAGTCCGTGCTTCGGTGTTAATGCAACGAGCCCAGCGACGCACCCAATTGGGCGGTGGCCGCCAAAGACCCGACCACCTCAACATCCACAACAACGGGGCCCCTGTCAACGGCGGAAGTGAAAGTCGGCCGGGCTGTTAGCCTGCCACCACCACGGCCCGCCAGTGCTCTATCATCACCGGGCACCTCAGCTACAAGCGGAAGTCTACCCCTAAACTTTCAACGACATCCCGTCTCGTCGTCCCGCCTTCTCGCCTACCCCGACTTTTGACTTGGTTGTTGACCACACCGGCCCGACAGGCTACTACACCTATCAAGGAGGTTCTCTCACCCACAGGTGCTATCTCGACCATCAGCCACTCCTATACAGAGAGGCTGCCACCGTTAAGAGAAGCCGACTCGACCGCTCGACGAATCCATTCTCCCACCGCAAGGCAGTGTTGGGTCCCCGCTCCGCCCGTTCTGCCCGCCCCGTTTATACGGGATTCCACAACCTTCCTGTCCTACACACAGTGACAGGACCTGACCTATTCCCGGTCAGCCAAACACCTACTAGCTAGCTCCCTTGGGCACGCAAAGCAAACAACAAAAGCAACAACAACATCTTTCAGCTGTTTCGTCCAAGAACAGCCCGCGCTACACTCCCATCGGTCCGACGACACGAGCCGAACCCCCTTTCGAACTCCTAGACCTACATCGTCTTCGACCACCTTGTTTGTCGGCTTGGGCTCCGTTGCCCGCACGATAGCAACATCTTTCTATACTTCTTTAATGTGTTGCTCCACGTCCAATCCCTATTTTTGTATCTAATTTCCCCCTCTTCCATTCCCTTCGTGAATGTTGTCTTCGCCAGCACCACTCTCCCGCCGGCCCTTGGATTCCAAGCTTCCGCGACCGAACTAGCATCCTGGACCGCTCTTCATTCCGGTCGTTGCGTCCGCCATAACAGACACGGTCCACCATTATCCCTATCCACCCCCGTCGCCCCTAGCCGTGCTGGCCGTTCCGCCGCTAGAACTGGCTTCTTGAAGCCATCCAAATCCGACCACAACATCTCTTCCCCCTTGCTCCTGACTCGCAGGTTCGCGCCGATTTTCTCTCCCTCGAGAATACACCGATACAAGCGCATCCAATGTCGGAGAGCTATGATGTTGGCACTCGAGCCTGGCAGCCCGATCCTACCGAGGGTTGGGTTGCCTCTGAAGTAGTCAAGAAGACAGTAGACGGCAACAAGGTCACTCTTACCTTCGAGTGCGAGAATGGCGAGGTAGGTAGCTTATGCTTTCCCAAGTCTCGGCATATTCCGACTTTTGTGCTTTGGTTTACGTGCTTTGCGGCCTGGTGCGCTTCAAGATGCTAACTTGTGTTACTGCCTCCAGACTAAGACCGTGGAGGTCTCCCTCGAGGCCCTCCAGTCAGGCGGCCATGAGTCGCTACCGCCCTTGATGAACCCAACAATGCTCGAAGCCAGTGATGACTTGACGAACCTATCACATCTTAACGAGCCTGCTGGTAAATATACACACACCTTTGCGCTGGTTCGCCCCGCCATCGGGCGCACTCCGAGAACGTGATGCTGATAGCATGTGCTGTGCTTAGTGCTTCAGGCTATCCGCCTTCGATATGCCCAGAAGGAAATCTACACATACTCGGGTATTGTTCTAATAGCTACAAACCCGTTCGCGCGGGTTGACTCTCTTTATGTCCCAGGCATGGTTCAAGTCTATGCCGGGAAGCAAAGAGCAACCCAAGCTCCCCATCTTTTCGCCATTGCTGAGGAAGCGTTCATGTATGGGCTCTTTGCCAACTTGACGATTCATGTTGACTCGTAATCGCTGACATTACAATAGGGACATGTTGCGCGATGGCAAGAACCAGACCATTGTCGTGTCTGGTGAGTCCGGTGCCGGTAAGACTGTCAGTGCCAAGTACATTATGAGATACTTCGCGACAAGAGAATCGCCCGACAGCCCCGGATCACGAGTAAAGAAGGGTGGCCACGAGTCTATGAGCCAGACCGAGGAGGCTATCTTGGCTACGAACCCGATTATGGAAGCTTTTGGTAACGCAAAGACGACAAGAAACGACAACTCCTCGCGATTCGGTAAATACATCGAAATCATGTTTGACAAGGCCACCAACATTATCGGTGCCAAGATCAGGACCTACCTTCTCGAACGATCGAGGTTGGTTTTCCAACCGCTGAAGGAAAGAAACTACCATATTTTCTACCAGCTGGTTGCTGGTGTGACGGACAAGGAGCGCCAGGAATTGGGCTTGCTTCCCGTTGAACAGTTCGAGTACCTCAACCAGGGTAACACCCCCACGATCGATGGCGTCGATGACAAGGCCGAGTTCAATGCGACCAAGGCATCTTTGAAGACCATCGGTGTTGACGAGGGCAAGCAAACGGAGATCTTCAAGCTTCTGGCTGGTCTCCTCCACTTGGGTAATGTCAAGATTGGTGCCATGCGAAACGACAGTTCCCTCGATCCTTCCGAACCATCGCTGGTCAAGGCCTGCGAGATCCTCGGCATCGATGCTCCAGAGTTTGCCAAGTGGATCGTCAAGAAGCAATTGGTCACTCGTGGCGAAAAGATCGTGTCCAACTTGACCCAGGCGCAGGCTATCGTTGTCCGAGATTCCGTCGCCAAGTACATCTACTCGAGTCTGTTCGACTGGCTCGTCGAAATCATCAATCACAGTCTTGCTTCGGAGGAGGTCCTCACCAGAGTCACTTCCTTCATTGGTGTTCTGGATATTTACGGCTTCGAGCATTTCGCCAAGAACTCCTTCGAGCAGTTCTGTATCAACTACGCCAACGAGAAGCTTCAGCAGGAGTTCAACCAGCATGTGTTCAAGTTGGAGCAGGAGGAATACCTTAGGGAGCAGATTGACTGGACCTTCATCGACTTTGCTGACAACCAGCCCTGCATTGACCTTATCGAGGGCAAACTTGGTATCCTGTCCCTTCTAGACGAGGAATCAAGACTGCCCATGGGTTCCGACGAGCAGTTCGTTACTAAGCTTCACCACAACTACGCTGCCGACAAGCACAAATTCTACAAGAAGCCCCGATTCGGCAAGTCATCCTTCACCGTCTGCCATTATGCCATCGACGTTACCTACGAGTCCGACGGTTTTATTGAGAAGAACCGTGATACCGTTCCGGACGAGCACATGGCGGTTTTGCGCGCATCAACCAACCAATTCCTTGTTTCGGTCTTGGACGCTGCTTCTGCGGTGCGCGAGAAGGATCTGGCCTCTGCCAGCTCAAATGCTGTCAAGCCCGCCGCTGGAAGGAGAATCGGTGTGGCTGTTAACCGCAAGCCCACACTCGGCGGTATCTTCAAGTCCTCTCTGATCGAACTAATGAATACAATCAACGGCACCGATGTTCACTACATCCGCTGTATCAAGCCTAACGAGGCGAAGGAACCCTGGAAGTTTGAAGGACCCATGGTCCTGAGTCAGCTCCGCGCCTGCGGTGTACTAGAAACTGTCCGCATTAGTTGTGCGGGTTACCCTACAAGATGGACGTACGAGGAATTCGCGTTGCGGTACTACATGCTGGTACCATCGACGCAGTGGACATCGGAGATTAGGGAGATGGCAAATGCCATCTTGACCAAGGCCTTTGGCGCTAGCACCGGCAAGGGTCTCGACAAGTACCAGCTGGGTCTTACCAAGATCTTCTTCAGAGCCGGTATGCTCGCTTTCCTCGAAAATCTGCGCACCACCAGACTCAACGACTGCGCAATTCTTATCCAGAAGAACCTCAAGGCCAAGTATTACCGTAAGAGGTATCTTGCTGCTCGCAATGCCATTGTCTCTTTCCAAGCCTTGATTAGAGCAAACAAAGCTCGCAATTCAGCACAGGAACGCCGCACTACCAAGGCTGCAATCACGATTCAGAGAGTTTGGCGCGGTTACAAGGACAGAAAACAATTCCTTGAGGTCAGGAACGACGTCATTCGTGCCCAAGCCGCCATCAAGGGTTACATGAAGCGCAAGAAGATTATGGAGGAGCGGGTCGGAAATGCGGTGCTCATCATCCAGCGGAATTGGCGGTCGAGGCAGCAGCTGCGCTCCTGGAGGGATTATCGCCGGAAAGTTACCATTGTCCAGAGCTTGTGGCGCGGTAAGACGGCGCGTAAGGATTACAAGGCTCTCCGCGCCGAGGCACGGGATCTCAAGCAGATTTCATACAAGCTGGAGAACAAGGTCGTGGAACTGACACAGTCGCTGGGTACCATGAAGACGCAGAACAGGGAGTTGAGGACTCAGGTGGAGAACTACGAAGGACAGGTGGCGATCTGGAGGAATCGTCACAACCAGTTGGAGGCACGCGCCAAGGAGCTGCAAGCCGAGGCCAACCAGGCCGGTATTGCCGCCGCTCGCTTGGAGCAGATGGAGGCCGAGATGAAGAAGCTTCAAGCAAGCTTCGAGGAGTCTGTGGCCAATGTGAAGAGGATGCAGGAGGAGGAACGCGAGCTCAGAGAGTCCCTGCGCGCTACCAGCGTAGAGCTCGACTCTGCTCGTATCGAGAGTCAACGGCAAGAGGCTGAGAAGAACTCGCTCCGTCAGCAGTTGGCTGACTTGCAGGAGGCTCTCGAGCAAGCAAGGAGGCAAGTACCTATCAACGGTGATATCCTGAACGGCAATGGTATTGCCCCTCAGGTTCCTACTGGGTTGATCAACCTGGTATCGTCCAAGAAGCCTAAGCGGCGTAGTGCGGGTGCCGAACCACGGGAGATGGATCGGTACAGCATGGCCTACAACCCACGGCCCGTTTCCATGGCTGTCCCTGGTCTGAACCGCCAAACAACACTTTCCGGCTCAACCTTCGTTCCCGGTGTCGATAGCATCGAGCTTGAACTTGAAGGTCTTCTCGCCGATGAAGATGCTCTCAATGAGGAGGTTACCATGGGCCTCATCCGTAACCTCAAGATCCCCTCCCCTTCCACCAATCCGCCACCTTCCGACAAGGAGGTGCTCTTCCCTGCTTACCTCATCAACCTAGTAACGTCCGAGATGTGGAACAACGGCTTCGTTAAGGAGTCAGAACGCTTCCTGGCCAACGTCATGCAGTCCATCCAACAGGAGGTGATGCAGCACGATGGCGAAGAGGCCATCAACCCCGGTGCCTTCTGGCTTTCCAACGTCCATGAAATGCTCTCGTTTGTCTTCCTTGCGGAGGATTGGTACGAGGCTCAGAAGACGGACAATTACGAGTACGACCGCCTCCTCGAGATTGTCAAGCATGACTTGGAAAGCTTGGAGTTCAACATCTACCATACCTGGATGAAGGTTCTCAAGAAGAAGCTTTTCAAGATGATCATTCCGGCCATCATCGAGTCGCAGTCCCTACCCGGCTTCGTCACGAACGAAAACAACAGGTTCCTTGGCAAGCTGCTGCAGTCTAACACGGCGCCGGCCTACAGCATGGACAACCTGTTGTCCCTCCTCAACAATGTCTACCGTGCCATGAAGGCCTACTACCTCGAGGACTCGATCATCACGCAGACTATCACGGAGCTGCTCCGGCTCGTTGGTGTCACGGCATTCAACGATTTGCTCATGCGCCGTAACTTCCTCTCATGGAAGCGTGGCCTGCAGATCAACTACAACATCACTCGTATCGAAGAGTGGTGCAAGAGCCACGACATGCCTGAGGGCACGCTCCAGCTTGAGCATCTCATGGTCAGTATCGTCAAGTGAACGTTTCATGATGCATTAGGTGCTAACCATTCAACAGCAAGCCACAAAGCTTTTGCAACTCAAGAAGGCAACCCTTAATGATATCGAGATCATCCAAGACATTTGCTGGATGTGAGTATATTTCCTTGTCCCGACAAGTTACGCACCAATCATACTGACTTTCATTCGTAGGCTATCCCCTAACCAGATTCAGAAGCTGCTCAACCAGTACCTGGTTGCCGACTACGAGCAACCTATTAACGGCGAGATCATGAAGGCCGTGGCATCTCGCGTCAGCGAAAAGAGCGACGTCCTCTTACTGCAGGCTGTCGATATGGACGACAGTGGCCCGTACGAGATAGCCGAGCCCAGAGTGATCACAGCGCTGGAGACTTATACACCATCCTGTGAGTTCGATCAGAGTTTTTGGATAACGCGAATGCATAACTGACTGTGAAACCACAGGGCTGCAAACCCCTCGTTTGAAGCGTCTTGCTGAGATTGTATCTCAACAAGCAATTGCGCAACAAGAGAAGATGGAGTTCGGCTCTCAGGCGGGCGACTACCAGCACGGGGATTATGACATACAAAGCATGAACGACTTGGCAGAGGTGGATGAAGGGCAAGAGATTGTGGAAGCGAGTGCCTAGGTTGCACCCCCGCGACCATCATCACCTTTACCTCTACCACTACCACCACCTCGCTCTCGTCCGTCACTGTCGTTATCATTGATTCCGTGCCCGACTTCTACCATACTCAACCCCTGGAGGACAAACAGTAACTCCACTATTGATGATTCTGTTGCGCTGCCACCGAGGACTACTACCGGTTCGAGGAAGATGAGGGTCAGGAGTGGGACTGGTTGAGTATTACTCGTTTGATACAGAAAATCAAACTTTTTCTTGTTCATCAGTGTTGTTATTGTTGCTGCTGTAGTAGAGTATGCTGTGTGTTGCAAAAAAAGAAACAAAAAACAAAAAGAGAGCAAGGCGCAATCTGCATTTGGAACCAGGTTAGAGAAGAGGAAGTAGAAGAAAAAGGATAAGGGGAATGACAGGGAGCGAGACAAGCGGGCAGGCAAAGAGGCAGGCAGGAAGGGCAGGATAGTTCATGGAAAGGCTGGGTGGGTTCGAGCCGTGAATCAACAGTTTGCCGGATATAGTAGAGAAAAATGGAAGGAAGGCTCACGGCGTGCAAGTCAGGATTCGGGTGATTTGCTTTGGGCTTTTTGCTGGAGAGAGAGAACAACGGAGAATTCACCTTCCAATTTCACGTTTTTTTTTTTTTTTTCTAATTCATTTCGTTTCACTTCTTTAACTTTGTTTCAACTTTCCATCATCGGCCGATGTTTTACTTTCTTTTCAAATCATATCATTCCAACTACTTTGTGAGAGACATATGCTTCCTTCTGTAGAGTCCCCGGCAAATGGTAGGCATTAAAAGCTTTATTCTAGGTTATTCATGCTTGCAAGACGAAGCATGAAGGAATCACGGAACGAAGCTCGGAGAGAAAAGGCAAGAGAGTCCAATGTGCTAAGAGAAAGTGTAATAAAGGGGATGGAGACCGAGGACCGCTTAAGTGCATATCATGTGAATAGGCTGCTGCAAGATATATTCAGTACCTGGTCTCTATGTAGTCGGCAGGTTGTTGAATGCCGGTGATCCGTTTTCTGTCTGCCTCTTCTTCTCCTCTCTTTGACAATCATGAAATGTTTAATTTTGATGAGGGTGGTCGGGAAGTTAGAGGAAGTGCGTGGTGGAATATACGTATTTAGCAATATGCAATAAAGCAGCGTGGCTGACAGTAGCAGAGAGCAGTGCCACTACCTTTTAATTCGCACATGGTCGAAACGGCCCCGAAAAAAAAAAAATTCTTGCAGTTGCATGCCGCGAGTTTGGCCCCTCGTCACTTGTCCATCACTATCCGCCGCTCGAGAAAACGAAACACTGGACTAAAGTCTCAATAAAGGACCCCACTATATTTTCCAAGTTATTACACCAAAAGATAGTGGTGAGAAAGATCATTTAGCTTGGTCTCGAACTCATATACACCCACATCTACACATACACACACACACACACACATCCATAAACTTGATCTCACGCAACTCCCACCCCAGCACCGGTGCGTATATATAATAGTGAAGATTACCGAAAATGAACAGATGTAGAGACTGACCCACCAAAAAAAAAAAAAAGAGAGAGAGAGAGAAACAAACAAAGCAGACAAAAATCACAATGTCTCGCACACTCCCCAATATCATCATCACCGGCACTCCCGGCGTCGGCAAGACCTCCCACTGCGAGCTGCTGGCCGAGCGCACGGGGCTCAAGCACCTGTCCGTCAACGACGTGGTCAAATCCAAGGAGTGCCATGAGGGGTGGGATGAGGAGTACCAGAGTTGGATTGTTGATGAGGATAAGGTGAGCTCTCCGGTTCTTCTCCATTGGGGCAAAGGGAAATTATTTGATCGTGTGCGCAAGAAGAAATAAGGCGCTGACTGTGCGACCGTAATTCAAAAAATCAAAAGCTCCTCGACGCCATTGAAGACGAAGTCAAGCAGGGCGGTTGCATAATAGACTGGCACGCTTGCGACTTGTTCCCCAAGAGCTGGATTGATTTGGTGGTGGTTTTGAGAGTTGAGAGTTCAGTGTTGTATGATCGGTTGACCGAGAGGTATTTTTTTTTTTTTTTTTTTTTTTTTTTTTTTTTTTTTTTTTTTTTTTTTTTTATTCACATTTTCCTTTCCCTTCCCCCCCTTCCCCCCTTTGCCGTTTGCTTTTCCTTTGTTACTTGATTTGCTTTCACCACAGATCGATGCGTAAGCATAAACTGACACACGCACACAGAAAATACCCCGAGCTCAAGCTTCAGGAAAACCTCGACTCGGAGATCATGGAGGTTCTCTTGCAGGAGGCCCGCGACTCATACGACGAGGAGATTGTCGTCGAGTTGCAGAGCAACAATGCCGAGCAGATGGATGAAAACGTGGATCGGATCGAGGCTTGGTTTAAGCAGTGGAAGGAGAATAACAGCTCTGCATAAGGGCCGATGTTGAGTTTCGGGGTATAAAAGATGTGTAATGGCAATGGGGGCAATGTGAAAAAGGGAAAAGTGGTCTTGATACCCGGATTCGATGTGATCTTTGCAAGAATGAGGGGGAGTAAATACAAGAAGGAGGTGTAGAAGCGGCGTAATCTACGTAAGACTTCACGGAAACTCACAAAAACACATATCCATCAGAGAGAGTCTTTCCATTGTTTCCAGTGATTACTTGTTTGGTTTTGCATTGCTGGTCGTCACCTGTAGACTCACCCACACCAAATGATACAAATGCAACAAACGAGGATTTCGTTCACGTTTTGCCTGCTACCCCAGCACCTCGTATTTTTCCCAAAACCGTATCTTACGACCATCACTGTGTAACATCGATAACGAGCTAAACGATCACCGGCCTGACTCTTACTCCGAAGAGGTGCCGTACTTATCCATACTCTCCCTCCTCAGGTCTCACTCTCTGACTCTCACAACTTAACCTTACCACCAGGTCAGAAAACACCGTCAAAATGTCTGCCCCTTCACAAGCCCGCCACATCGTCAACTTCATCACCGGCAACGCCAACAAGCTCGGCGAAGTCAAGGCGATCCTCGAGCCCGCCATCCAAGTCGAGAACCAGGCGCTTGATCTGCTCGAGATCCAAGGCACCTTGGAGGAAGTCACGTTGGATAAGTGCCGGAGGGCTGCTGATTTGGTGAGTCCCGCTTCTTTGAGTAGTGGCTGTTCTTCTGGGAAAGATAATATTGCTTGAATTATCATATGTCTGCAATAGGCGATGTCAAACATGGGAAGGATGTTTGCTAATGCCACATACGATATAAACCTTATAGGTCCAAGGCCCCGTTCTCGTCGAAGATACCTGCCTCTGCTTTAACGCTTTGAAGGGTCTTCCTGGTCCTTATATGTGTGTTTTCCCGCACACCCATTCCTCTCCTTGTACTGCCACCAAACCACTTTTACTTACACCTCTCTTTCACACACAACAGCAAATGGTTCATGAATTCCCTCGGCCATGAAGGCCTCAACAACCTCCTAGCCGCTTACGAGGACAAGTCGGCTAAGGCCGTCTGCACCTTTGGCTACTCTGCTGGTCCCGGCCACGAGCCCATTCTCTTCCAGGGCATCACCGACGGCAAAATCGTTCCTCCGAGGGGTCCTCCTAACTTCGGTATGTTACGCCTGCGCCTACCCAATAACCTACCTGTCCGTCAAAATGGAATGAAAGAAAGAAAGAAAGCAACGTGTTTATTGACTTGACAAACCCACAGGCTGGGATGCCATCTTCGAGTATGAAGGCCAGACGTAAGTTTCACCTTCCATGTCGTGAATTGTTCCTACCTTCGTTCATCCACACAACTCGAAAGATATTTGACTAATGCAATACTTATTCTACAACCTCTGTAGATATGCCGAGATGGACAAGGCGGAAAAGAACAAGATTTCCCACCGTGCCAAGGCTCTGGCCAAGTTGCAGGAGTGGTTTGCTAAGGAGATGACCGCTTGAATATTTTCTCTCAAGTGAGGAACAAATTAAGACAGCAATATTTCTGAAAGACGAAAGAAGAGCAGCGCCGTTGTGATGAAAAGACAAAGCTGTGGCCACAAGGCCATAATACCCAAAACGATCTGGAAACAAAAAAAAAAACAAAAAAAAACGAAGAAAAAACACGCCGCTTGAAATGCAGTACCAGAAAACAAGAGAATTTCAGTTCGCTATGTCCAACTTGAGGACGGATAGCGATATGAATGATGATCGAAACACACCATGTACATGTCCCTAGGTGTCCATAAGAATCCGTCTTGTCCGTGCATGGCGTTCTATGCATTTATCTCTGGACGCGGCCTCAACCTATTTTTCATCTTAGCCAGCCGCTTCTGGACTTCCACTATATGCAAACCGATCAGACTTGAAGAAGCACACGTACCTAATGACTTCAAACTCCCTAAACCTTCCCAGATACTTACTCCCGCGTCGGTAAGGATTAAGCACCATATTCGCCGCAAGAGGGTGTAGGTGATGGTGGACATGCACATCCCGGCCGACGTGTTTAGTGACATTCGACGCATCGTGAAACATGGGGTCGAAAACAAGCAGGTTCCGCGCACCCGACTTATCGTACTCCAGCCCGATGATCGTCATCGAGTGGCCCGCGTGCTGGAAGTATATTGGCGGTAGGTCGGTCTGCCAGACCTTCTTAATCTGCTGAGTGGTAAGATCTGTATCTTCGGGGACAGAGATGCCCGTTTGGAGGTACCGCTCGACCATGTCTAGTAGGTCTTTTTCGGAGTGGCCGGGCTCGGGGTTTTTGAAGGCTTGGACGTCGAAACTAGATGAAGGGGGTGGGTGTCAGTTTCCTGTGTTGGAGGCGAAAGAGAGAGAGAGAGAGGTGAGGTGAATGGATGGATATAAAGGGCTCACGTACGGAATTTGCAACAACCGGAGCATAGCCATCGCCTCAGGCGTCCCAATGTACTTTCTGGTACCGCGGATGCCGCCTGTTTCAACCCTTCCTTGAGCGTTGATCCCGTGGTCCCATGCAGTTTCGATCATTTCTTGAATATTAAAGATCGTGGGGATCCCCCCGCAGAAATGTTGGTAGCCTGGGTATTTGGTACCGATGATGTACGAAGACAACATTTGGATATTGCGATAACCACAGAAACCGCCTTCACATGTTTGTTAGATGACATGACTTCTCAATTTCGGAATGGGGCAAAATTGACCTTCCCTCTTAAGTTTCGACACATGATTTGTGCTCGGGTGGCACAAAAAGGCATGTCTTGTGGAAGAACATTGCTCGAACAGCTGTGCCAAGACTGGGATAATGCCTTGATTATCAGTTAGCGATGCTCATGAAAAATCCCCCCCATTATCCAGTTTGTGAACTACCTTCAGCTTTCACATAAAGTCCCTTCTCCAGGTGCTTGACGAGCCAATCCGGCATCTGCTCCTCGTGTGCATACTTGCCGAGCTGCGCCTTCTGTATATACGGCTTTAGTTCAACGCTTCACCACTGACAGTTCCCGCTAAACAAGTGAAGACGTACACCAAGTCGGGTTCCTCGCATAACTTTGGCAGTTCCCCCCGAGGCTCGTTCAGCCAGTCGTTCGGATACCTTCTCTTTATGGCGCTTCTTTGGAGGCTTAGGAGACATCGAGGGCGCATCAGAGGAGTGACGGGGGTGATGGATTCCGAAAAAGGCCCGCCATATCGATTTGCTCTTGTTGCTGTCTCTATTCCTGTCGCTGTGATGGTCGTCCTTGCGCTCCCCACGGCGGTGACCTTCAGTCTCGCCGCGGTGGGCTTTCGAAGAAGAAGAAGTAGTACTAGGTCTAGGTGAAGAGCTTGAAGAATGGGAGGGAGGAGTGCGTGTCGACGTTGTTGGCCTCCTTGCCGGCGGAGACTGACCTTTTGGGGATGGAGATGGAGCGGAAGGGGTGATGATGGGACTGCCAGTCTCAGTCTCTGAAGAAGCGCTGCCACCTTGCTCAGCGGCATGGAGTTCTAGGTGATAGCCCAGGTCGGCGGCGAGCAGGACTTCCCCGCAGTCTTTTGCCGGACATTCGATATAATGAGGGTCTTCTTCTTTTTCAGAAATGTGACCGCCCTTGGCCTCTGCAGGTTTGTCAGCGACGACAAAGGGAGTTTCTCCCTCGGCATGGTTTGTCTCCAAGTGCTGGCGTTGAAGTCAATCAGTTAACGGGTTCACCCCTAAACAATGCGGCCCGGAAGGAGAAACACACTAGCATGATGGCGTATTCGTCCGTCGTTGTCGATTCCCAGTTGCAAAAGGGACAAACCATGCCGCCTTTGTTTTCCTCTGGGACTCCCATCTTCAACTGTTTCAGATTAGCATAGAACGACTGTTAGTGAGATGTAGGTCTCTTTGTTCCGAGATTGTGACCCAATTCGGATTCCCTCCGAATAACAAAGAGACTTTGAAGTGGCAGCGCGGCAAGCGGCAAGCGGGATGGCTGGTGAGTTAACGAATGTTGCTAACACGTAGCTAGAAATGGAAATGAAGCCGGGAGGATGGATTTTCGGTGAACGAGCCGGCAAGACGTGTCTAATGATTCAGCTCAGCTGTGGAAGCTAATCGCTTTCGGTGAGCAGCTTGTCTTGAGCATTTGTCTTTTTTTTTGCTTTTTTGCTTTTTTCTCTCAAAACGAGATGTACGAGGACTCTCCAAACCCCTTGCCGACCGGTATCATCAAGACAAGTTCAGGCGCAAATGACACATAGCGAGACCCGTCTCACGGAAAGAGTTTGTTACTGTAATTCGTTTTGTTGATGGGACGACATCATGATGGCTCACATGCCCTAAACACGGCAACAAAGGCATCAACGACTGGCGAGCAACCCCCTGAAAGAACCAGCTTGTTGGATTGGTTTGTTTGCTGGTAGCCATTGCCCATTGTAGTTTGGGGGCTGAACTTTGTCCAAGGAAGCCGCACTTGGGCTATGCGATTGAAGGAAGTTTTGCGTCAAAACGAGAAGTTGCAACAAAGAGAGGGTTAAAGCCATCCGAACGCCACTATCTTGTGGTCATTTCCCCTCGTGTTCAACACCGTCGGGACGAAGTGACGAGGAAGTGGTTGAGGCAGGAGCAAAAGAGGGGAATTTGAGCATTTATCAATGAGGTTGAAGCTAATTATGTCGGGTGTAGGCATGCAAGTGCTGTCACTATAGCAGAATATATATATGTATGTTAAGGCATGTATGTGTGTTGTTGTGGTAACATTCCACTTAATACCATGAACGTGAGGTTGGCCCCTTTTAGTGTTACCTCTAGCGATGCTCCTCTTAAGCGAGTGTTAGTAGCAACCATTCAGTATACACGACACCTAGTAGCACACTTCAGGGACTGTTTGCCCGTCGCGGTGTCCCCTCGCTACGCCTTGCATCCCCGAAAAGTGTCAGCTGAATGTTTGACAATAATCATTATTCAGCTTCATCTTTAGCTCTAAGCAGCCATCCAATCCATTCCAGGCCACGATCAAGTGAACGATTAAATGATTACTGAACTAATCGCCCATCCAACAACTTCACTACCTAGAGGTACCTACTACCTAGATGCTTGGCGCGCATGTCTCGACAACTGAGGTGATGTCATGGCTCATTCTCGGATTCCAATTTGGCAGTCATGGCGAACTGGCGGACGTTGAGCTCACCTACGCAGGATATTCGATCCCGATTTTTTCAAGGTTTGAAACGTCGCTGCCTGGCTTAAACCTTCTTTTCCCTTGGGGCTGTTGCATTCTGCTCCATTTTTACTGCTGCGGTGCTAGCGAGGGCTCCCGCGCTCGATAAACTTCCCGAAGACCCGAGAGGACCCGAATCCCGCCTACGATGAGCGATGAAGGGGATCGAGTGAACTCACTCATCACTTGCCTTCAACGCCGCGCGGGCTGGCTGGCTGGTAACAGAAAGAAGCCGCCCTCAGCCATGCGAAACATCATTTCCATTTCTCCGTGTCATCGTCATATACCTCAGACATAAGCGGCATCTACACATGCTTGATAACAGTCAGCCACGTCCCCCGTCCGGATATGTCCGTCCTCTCTATCTCATAGAGTAGACATACCTGAACATGAGGGGAGTCATAATGTAGGTAAAGTTCAGTCATGCCGAATGCAGACCGCTAAGTCGGATTCGCCCCCCTTGTCTTCTACAGGGAGCAGTTGCTGATGGTGTCGAAGTAGATGTCGTCGTCCCTGACCCCGGCCAAGTGGTTCAAAGGGTATATGTCATGCAGAGACAGGTCCCACGGGTTCCTCAGCCCTATGACAGCCTCGTGTTCCCGATTCTGGCCGCGGGGGCTGCAGCCGGCTTGGTCTGGATGCGCGTTCTTACACCGACATGTATGGGTATCCGAGTATCTGGTCTCTCGTCTCTTGAAACGTTACTGCCTAACTACTTGACAATTGTGGCTATCTGTGAATCATGTTGCTCACTCCCTTGATGGTATTAGACCACAACATTTTTCCGTGGAAGATTCGAAGCTGTGGATGAACATGAATGTCATGTTGGATCGATCGTGAACATGGCAAGTGGATGATGGCCTCGTAGGGTAATTGGATCCTTGTTCTATGAGTGCGGAAAGGAGGGTGGCAGATCTGGGTAGGTTAGAGATCTCGCTTTGGTTCCGTTGATGAACCAGAGGAGATACTAGAGCAAGTCATGCTTAAGGTCTACATGGTGCAGTGAATAACATGCTCATTTACTGTACAGAAATGGCCATCATACTGCCATCAAGTCGCAGAGTAACATGTTACTCTTCATGGTTGCTGCGCCTTGCTACGTTGACTCAAAACTTTGACAATGTTCCAACTCAACGACATTCACCAAGGTTCGCAACCAAGCCTTGACCATACTACGCATAAAATGACATGGCAACGTAGTCCGAAGGTACTTGTAGGTTATCTATTCGACATGTCTCGGGAAGAAGTTTGGAAGAATCTGGAAGAAAACTCGATGATGCTCGAAGTCTACAGTAGCTGGGAACTTGCGGAGTACCTGAAGCCCGCGCACATCACATAACCGCCACCTCAGTAATTGTTGACGATATGAAAACAGTCAATTACGTTCTACTCTATCAGTCCACCACAAACGGCCCAAGCAATGTTGTGAGGCTGTGATGCAATCTTCATCGGTCGAGTAAGGTATGGCTTGGATTCGTTGATGAAGAGTATTAACAGTGACATATCAAAAATAGCCTATCTAAATAGTGGCATTTCCAAGACACCAGCCAACAGACCTGCAACCTGCACCTGCGCATGAATTATTCATCACGATCATCAAATGTAGACTACAACACTGACTAGTTGCTGACCGTGAATCCTAGTGTTCTTTGTAGATTGTGCCATTCAAAAAGGGATGCGCTCAAGCGAAAGTACCGTACAGTCTCTCGAAATTGACTTTCGGGTAATCAGTTTGTACGAAGGCATGAGTAGGTAGGGTTGAAAGTGAAAAGAAGCAGTATAGTTGAACCCTGCTTATGTCTGCGTAGAAAGTGATTACCTGAAGTCCATTTCGAGAGATTATACGGCATGTCGTGCCAGCTTGTGTGTCGCTGACTAACCCGTTCTCCAGCTTTCGTCCGCGCTCTCCGCCGTTCTCACGCCCACGCCTACGCCCATCATCATCGTCGCTTAGCCCCGAAGCATGGCATACGCTGTACGAAGTACCTTTGTGATCTTGTCATTCTGAATCTTTGCATCCATCGCCAAAAGAACATAACCACAAATCTTCATGCCTGGAAAAGGGCTGGGCTATGATGCAAATCACGAATCGATTTCAAATTCGGCTCGACCGGGTTATCTTGAGGCTCTTGGGGATACGATGGATCTGTTTGCTTAAAGGGAAAGCAAAGTTTGCACCTTTCCGAGTCCCGAAATGCTGCAGTTTGTGTTTGTGTTTGTTCGAGCAATTCGATTTCGGGTCCTTCCACCGAGCAGCCATCCAAGGAAGACACCCTTACCCTTGCCAAGACCCTGCCAAGCCACACGCCAAGCCGGGAAAAACTGGTACAGAAGCTGTACAGAAGCCGTCACGGGGCTGTCTCCAAAAAATAAATGTCCGAATCTCAGCGCCAGCAGGAGCCAGCACAGGCCACACAGCAACCCCTGAAACGTACATTTCACGGTATGTGTAAACAACAACCCCTAGTCTACGTCTAAACCCCACCAGGGCCATCATAGTCTTCTAATCATCGAGAACGCTTGAGCCAGGTTGTTTGACATGTCGAAAGAGAAAAGTCCGGTGCAAAGGAGGCGATCCCTGCCAAAACTGCGCTCGCATGAACATCACCTGCCACAGTTCGTTTGACACCAACCTTCGCATCCGCGTGTCAACACCGACAGGTCAGAGGGATGTAGACGTAGGGGCCACATCCAGCCGGTCGTCCAGACCAACGCCTCCAAATCAACAGCAGTCCCCGCCCCAGCACCAGCACCAATACCAACACCAGCAGCAGCAACCAGCCCAATATCAACCAGAGCCCATGCCGGCATTCATGACCTTTGACGGACACAGCCAGTCCTTCCTCCCCGAAGACCCCAACCACTTTGCCGGGTATCCCACGTCTGCGACCATCGGTGGACCGTCCACTTCATACGCTCCAGTCCCCCCCGTGACCCATGTAAACAACTTTGACATGGCATCGGCATCGGTATCGATTGCCAGCTCGAGTACCGCCGGGGTTCCGGATATGGCCCAGCTCCAGTATCAGCAGTATCCGGATGCTGCCGCTTGGGAATATGACTACCCTTATGACCCGAACGACCCCAACAACCTTGGCTATGACTATGACGCCGCGATGGACATGAGCATGCAAGCTCTCCTACCCGACGACATGCAGCATAGTCATCAGGATGCTGGTGGGTGGTACGGATATCCGGCGCAGGGACCGTCGGGCCAGCAACAGAATTGGCGGTAATGTGGGCGCTCTTCTGAATGGACTGGTTCTCTGCTTGATCCCAGAGGACCAGTTTCGAACCTGATGCTCTAACATGGGGAATACCAACTTGCTGGCTGGTTCACTTGCATGAGCTAGGCCTTTTGGATTGGCTCTTTGGCTTTGATACTGTTTGGTCGATAGAGATCCTAAAATGGGGGAACACAGGGAGTATACTCAATAGAGGCGTGCAGAAAACAAAAAGGCAGGTGAAGGACAGCGATGCGAGAATGATTACATAGATGAGAGATGAGATACATGAGACCGCAAAGGGAAAACCGGACGAAAGCAATGTGGAGTATATGAAGGGAAAGATTAAGGGAAATGTATTGTTAATGGATAATGATAAACACCATACTCACTTGTTGCAGCCTTGTGCGCAACGTTCTCGGATGGTAGGTGAGAATGAATCGTGAAAGTTAGAAGTGTATCAATTCGAGTTGGGGCTACGAAGCCCTGGACCGGTTCGGCCTCCATGTACCGATGAGCGCGGCGTCGTTGCGATGCGTGCGTTTGGATGAAAGATGCTTGAACGGGTGAAATGGGTATGTTATCTTTGATGTCGGCAGACCTTGGGCATCAGGCTGGCTTCAACATGAAGATTAAGGCCCCGAGCTGTCTCGCGCTGCCTGGAGATGGTCCATGTTCTTGTTGATTTCATTGCGACTTGGATGAGGTTTGTGACGAACGCTGAGTCGTCGAGTCGCCCGCTGTTGAGTCACATGAAAATATCGTCCTATCGGGGATATGCTCCTTGACTGCTCTGGCCGTGCACTTTGGACCCCTGGCGTACCTGATACCAAACCTCCACACCCCACCACTCTCCCCTCCAAGACCTGCCCTGCGCCTGCCAGCGCCAGGTGGGCTGGGCCCGCCGAAATAATTCTGCCCCGCCAATTCGGTGTTTCCTCTCCCGTCAAGGTTCGCGACACCACACCATTGTCACTTCTGTCTCCAGCCCTATACTATACTGCCAATCCCAGGACGAGCCTTGAATAGCTTCGTAGCCCCCAAGGACCCGTAAACATGCTCGACGTCAACGATTTCAGTACGGCACCCTCGCATATGTCTTTCCACACTTCCTGCGCCAATTCGCATGCCCAAGGCGCATTCCCGTCTCCAAAGCACATGTCGCCGCATTTGCCCAACTTGCTAATCTATGGAAATTGAACAGTTGCTGAGCGCGGCGGCAACCCCGAAAAGATCCGGGAAAGCCAGCGTAAGCGCTTTGCTCCCGTCGAGGTCGTCGACGAGGTCATTGCTCTCTGGGAGGATCACCGCAAGAGTATGTGCTGCCTGTCCTGTGCCCTCGCTGCCTTCGCTGCCCTGCAAACGACCAAAAGGAACTCCGTCTGATCTGATCTCCTCCGTGTGTTGATAGCCGCCTACTCTGCCATGCAGCTCAACGCCAAGATCAACGAAATCCAGAAGCAGATTGCCCCCAAGAAGAAGGCATATAACCCATATCCGTCCACGACGATTGTTCCACGACTAGCTCTAACACTACTGCGCTCGTAGGCCAAGGAGGATGTCAGCGATCTCTTGAAGCAAAAGGCCGACCTCGAGAAGGAGAAGAAGGATCTCCTTGACTCCGCCGCCGAGAAGGAGAAGCTTCTCAAGGTGTGTGCTCCAAATACCAGTCTTAAGGCCTTGTTTCGACAGCTAACACATTGTAGGTCAAGGTCAAGACCATCGGCAACCTCGTTCACGACTCCGTCCCCGTCTCCAACAACGAGGTTAATATTACCCAGCAACACGACCTCTCTTCTAATCGAATGAATGCCTGACAAGGATACAGGATAACAACACTGTTGAGCGCACCTGGGCTCCCGAGGGTGTTACCTTCGAGAAGAAGGATGTTCTCTCCCGTTAGTTCGCCCCAGCAAACACTCAAACATACAAAGCGAGGCTGACAAGGCCGGGTATCTAGACCACGAGGTTCTCAGGAAATTGGATGGCTATGACCCCGAGCGTGGTGTCAAAGTTGTTGGCCACCGCGGCTACTTCCTGAAGAAGTGGGGTGTTTTCCTCAACCAGTAAGCCATTTCTAACTCGGGTCACCTTTTGGCATACGGACATATGCTGACATGGCTGTAGGGCCATCATCAACTACGGCCTCGAGTTCCTGTCCGAGAGAGAGTACACTCCTCTCCAGACTCCCCAGCTCATGCTCAGGGACCAGATGGCCAAGACCGCCCAGCTTTCCCAGTTCGACGAGGAGCTCTACAAGGTTACCGGTGACCAGGCCGACAAGTACCTGATTGCTGTGAGTGGCTTCAGTCCCCTTTGTGACTGATATGACTACGAAGATGCTGATCTCTGTGTGTGACAGACCTCCGAGCAGCCGATCAGCGCCTTCCACAGTGACGAGTGGCTTCAGGCCAAGGACCTTCCCCTGAAGTACGCTGGTTATTCCACCTGCTTCCGCAAGGAGGCCGGTGCTCACGGCAAGGATGTCTGGGGTATTTTCCGTGTCCACGAGTTCACCAAGGTTGAGCAGTTCTGCATTACCGAGCCCGAGAAGTATGGTTTTTTTTTTTTTTTTTTTTTTTTTCCTCCGCAATTTCCCCAGTTACGTTTGACAGACAGTTGTACTTACAAAAGCATCACGACAACAGGTCTTGGGAGATGTTCGAGCACATGATCTCCAACTCCGAGGCTTTCTACCAGTCCCTCGGCATCCCCTACCGTGTTGTTGCTATCGTCTCCGGCGCTCTCAATAACGCTGCCGCCAAGAAGCTTGATCTCGAGGCTTGGTTCCCTCACCAGGGTGAATTTAAGGAGCTTGTCTCCTGCTCGTAAGTTTATGTTTTTTTTTCCACCTATAGTCAACACCCTACAACAAGAACCCAAGTAGAGATTATCATTAACCTGTGACAACAGCAACTGCACCGACTACCAATCCCGAGACCTCGAGATCCGCTTCGGCGTCAAGAAGCAGACCGATATCAAGAAGACCTACGTCCACTGCCTCAACTCCACCCTTACCGCCACCACCCGCACCATCTGCGCCATCCTCGAGAACTTCCAGACTCCCGAGGGTGTCAAGGTTCCTGAGCCTCTGCGCAAGTACCTCCCTGGTGCTCCCGAGTTCATTCCTTTTGCCCCCGAACCGGTCAAGGAGGTTAAAGAGGGCAAGAGCGGCAAGAAGGGTGAGGCTGCCCCCAAGAAGGCGGAGGCTCTTCCTGTTCGCCAATAGGAGGATATTTGTGGTAATTAGGTTGAATTAGGTTTAGGTTGTCCGTGTGATCTCAATTGAATGATTTGATACCAGTTCAATGCGGTTGTTGGTGTCATGTTTATGAAGGTGTGAAGATGTTGGTAGTCATGTTGATGAGAGGGGTTTGTGCATATGTGGCAGTGTCAAGTATGTTGAAAGTGATGTCGTTCGGGAACTCATATTGGGAAGTAGGCGTAATGATTCACAAAATATTTTCTAGTGGCTCGGTCCATATGTACGTGAAGTAGTTCAACGGTCCTGCATATCGCGCGATATACGTACGCCCGTTCTCAAATGACAATCCACAAGGGCAGTTACATACGTTGGGCCAAGTATAGAGAACATGCGTACTATACCATGAACAAGCATAGTTCACAACTATGCAATCGACTATGCCCTTCAAAAGCCTTACTATGATACAAGCAACAATGCCCGTCGTTCATTGGCTTCTTGATCTCATATAGACAAAGTCAACTTTCTTCAAATCCCATCAAAACCTTATTAAGGAGAAATGATACCCGCCGCCTCTCCCGATTCAAGCCTCAACCAATCATTCCCTAATCACATCGATGCAGTCTTGCCGCCAAATGATGTGAACACATGAACAAGGTATAGTGTCAAAATCCCCTCTCTATATCCACAAGCCGAGTTGAGTCTCGTTTATATCTAACACCGAGTGTAAATCAACGAACAAGGAAAAGAAAAAAAAGAAATTTGAAAAAAGGAAAGACCATGATAAAGTCAAAAGAGAAAAAGCACCTGACTTCTCTCCTGCGCGCCAGTGCTTCCCGCGAAAAACAGAAACAAGGTCGTGAAAATTGCGTGTTGTCCGGTGATGGAGTAGGCGGCCAAGAAAGCTCCGTATGCGGTAGGACTAGGTTGGATACCTCAAACCATTGTTTGGTAGAAGGAATCTGCTCTCCCTTTCGAGATGTACCGAATCTAATACCCTTTTCGTGGGTGAAGAATATAAGCCAAGGACAGCTGTTCAACGCCTTGGTGACGTCTGTCCGTACCATGCTGCATGGAGGCTGCCACACCACCATGTGCTGTCATGAACCATGAGCAAGATGTGCTGCAAATAACGACCGTATATAACGGTGAGGAGGTCTGTGGTGGTCGTGTCGTCTTCATGTATGCATGAAAACCCCTGATCTGTGTCTGTCATGGAGCTTGCCATCGCTCACAATAAGATCCGACATTTGAGCGCGCCACTGCTCATGAGAGATATTGATGGTCATCTCTCCCTACTGACGGTGAAGACAGAGTCACGTTGACTGTCTTACATGACCACGCACTTTCCGTTCTCGTTGGTCGCCGTGGGGTTATTTGACTTCTCAACCTCGCCGATGAGAAGCTCAAATGCTCTGGCGACGTTCTCGTTATAGCGAGCACTAGCCTCAGTCCAGGCGCATTTGTATTTCTCAGCGAGAGCCTTGCCATCCTCGGGAGTGACCTGGCGCTGTTCAGGACGGAGATCACTCTTGTTGCCGACAATACAGATGGGTACGTTGTCGGTACCCTGTTGAAGTCAGTAAAACAATCATGGAAATTATCCAAGACGAAGTCTGGATGGACAAGACGCTGCTTACCAGATGGTTGAGAATCTTATCACGGATAACCTGGACCATTTCAAAGGATGCCAGTGAAGAAACGGAGTAGACCAGCATGTAGCCGTGGATGCCGATGAAATGCTTGCTATTCAAAATCGAATATTCATCCTGTTTAAGTGCTCGTGTCAGTAAACTGTGTCACCCTGGTGAAATTCACATCATTTGGGTAAGGTGGGAAAGGTGTGAGAAAAAAAAAACCGTACCTGGCCCGCTGTGTCGACGATCTCGGTTGAGTAATCCTGGTTCTTCCACCTGATTTCCTTTGAGAAAGTATTCTCGATGGTGGGATAGTAGGATTCGACAAAGTGCCCATCCACAAAGCGCACAGCGAGTGAAGATTTGCCTACAACTTTGGTTAGTGCCTGTTGCTCCTCTTTTACTTCTGTCTTGCTTTGCAGTCAAGCTGCAAGAAGGCCAGACAGATTGCCTGCGATCCTCACTTCGCGAACGTGTAAACTGTGTGCAAGAGTGAGAGCAGAGTGACAACTACCCGAGTTGTGTATTGGAAAATACTTCGTGCGATGGAAGGAAGGATAGAAGGAGGGTGAACTTACCAACGGAGCGACTACCTACGATGGCGATCTTCCGCTGCTTTGTGGCGGGGGACGGCATTGCGAATGAACGTCAACTGACGTGAGGCTGGAGTTTGGGAAGTTAAACTGTGAATTTATATATATATATATATATATACGTATGCGACCGGTTCAAGGGTCGTTACGTGTGTATTGTAGCTGGGAGAAGACCTATGGGTGAGATGGAGTGGTGGTGTGAGATAGTAAGATAAGTGAAGGTTGGAAGTGTGGAAAATTGAAGGTAAATGTGAGTGGGATGCGGTCCAAGTTCAGAAGAAAAACAATTTGTTGTTTTGAATGGCCTGCCAGGCGGGCGACAGCGGAGTGTACCGGCTCGTAACAACATTGAGAGCTTGTGAACCAGACTAGGAAAGAGCGCCCCTGCCCTGCCACCTACAAGTTTGGGGCCAGAGTCTAGGCTATTTGCGGTAGTAGTGTAGCTTGGTGAGGCAGGTACGTACTGTTCCCTCTCGAAACCGGTACGGAGTTCTGGGGTTTGGGAGGAAAGAACGTCCGGCAAACCCGCTGCGTAGTGTGAGAAGAATGCCCCTGTTTCTAGGCCAAGTGGAAGGCAAGGCCGGAACAGTTCTTCAAGTCCAATACCAGATGAAATTCAATTTGAAGTTGAATCAATCGGGCGACAGGAAGAACGGCAGATTTACTTTGAGACAATACAACCGCATAGTCCCCTTCAGCATCATGATAAAAGTCATAACCGAATCCAGATAGGTCTCTTTCGCTGATTTATGTCCCATGGGTTCATTCCGACTGGAAATACGTTGTTAGGGTTGTACAAGTCATTGGTGCATGGTCCCACTCGTTGACGACCACGCGAGTGTGTCAAAAAGTCGTTTCTTCCCGTCTGTCTCAATTCGTCTCGTCGTTCGGCAGGACTCCGAGCGACGACCAGACACTTTTGCCTACATAGGTAGGTTCCTTCGTTGCTCTGACACTGAACTGACTGCCCGGCTGACAGGTGCAATGCCGCCCGCCGCTGTTCTGAGACAGCCTAGGCCTGACGAAACAGCCAGCCAGACTGGCCAGACACAAGAGGCAGCCGAGCTTGTAGTGTACATGTTATTGCTGTGAGGTAATATAGTGGAGCCTCCCTTACCCCACTGTTTTCGTCGCACCTGCCGCAGGCACCCAGATTGCGGCTCAGTCGCTAAGTTTGCCTTCAGCACTCCACATTCTGGCACTGCTAAGCCTCCAAAACCACCAAGCCTGGACCCTATTCGGCTTTGATTTATTGCGGCACCTCACAAACAGTTGCTTCCACAGGGAAACGGAGAAAAGAAGCTTGACAAGCTGAAGCGCTTAGACTTTATTGTCACCGATGACTCCGTACCTACCTCTAGTCACCTGCGCCCACCCGAGCTGCTTCTAAGCGGAAGCTGTGTCACGACGGACTACAGGCGAGCCGAATGTGCATTGTCTTAACGGAGAATATCCGGTTTCCTGAGTCTATAGGAGGTCCAGTCCGAACAAAAGTCCATACAGAAAAGAAAAAGTTACAAGATAACTTGATGTTACAAATACCCGCCACCTATGGAAGAGTGCCAGAGGCCCAAAGGTGTTCGGATTAGGTGGGCAGAACCATATCATATCCCAAACCAAGTAAAGCCATTCCTTGCGCTGAGATGATCATGACCAAAGGTATCGGCCATCCTGAAGAATCCTAAATTTTGCTCCACAATACGTACCATTTGAACCAACTTCGTTAGCCAGGGCAGTATTGTCAATCTGACCCTTTCCCGCACGTAAATCATAAGTCTATTTCCCGCAAGTGCCCAGACCCTCTGCCTACCACAACAAACCCTCTGTGTATCAACCCGCAACCCGCAACCCATAACCCCCAAGCCGTGAACCAGTCCGTTTAGGTTCCCGGAAAAAGCAATAAAAGCAAAGCGATATCTGGCTCACAACAACCAGAGTGTTGATCCAGCCCTGTGATCATATATGGATAATATTTCAGGCGCACTCTGACTTGAGGACGCTGACCAGCCTCTGGAGACGCGCCATAGCAGAACTCTCATCACCTACTTTCGTTTCCCCAGACCCGCCCTGGGCTTCCTCAACTCTCTGGTGATAGATGATGAACTCGTTGAGGGAATCCACCAGCGGCTGGATACTCTTTTTGGGGTGGACTGAGACGAATTTGTCCCTGATGGGTTCGCGGAGGCAAAGGTATCCCAGCAAAATGGCAAGATAGCCGAGAGCAACATTGAGTTGAGCTTTCTCCTTGGAATCCGCCTGGGAACATCTCTTGTCTTAGTATCATGTTTCATATCTGAAAACAATGGTCAGACAACTTACATCTGAGGTGTTGGAGTGGTTGTCAGCAAAGAGCTGGATCAATTTTTCTAGCTGCGGGCCCGGGGTACCCCCTCTTGTATCAAGAGACTTTCCAGCTGGTGGGTAATAGACGCAAAAGTTAATCATAACACCGAGCATCATGATGAGAGATTCGTAAACTTTGGACAGGAAAGCATCAGCCTGCATGGAATTCAAGACAACGTCAAAGGCAACGCATGCCGAATGCGCTAGGTTCTGGAGAAGTCCCTTTTTGACAAGCGTTCCCGAGGCGTCATGGTTGTGATTAGTCATGTTAAGCGTAATCCTGAGGGTGAGGCTCTCTAGGTCGTTGAACTTGTCCGCAGGCCGGGTCAAGGTAGTCTCCAGCACATCAGCCGCAATCGGCACGTACTGAGTCGTCCATTTAGGGCTGAGGTGAGACTGCATGGCGTAGATGGAATGGCCTTCTAGAACATACAGGGCGAGGAAGAAATCGATGGATGCTTGCTCTTGCGGGAACTCCCAGCATGCCTGGTCGGATGTGCCAGCGGCCAAAATCGAAAAGAGTTGATCTGTCACTTTCGAGGAGAAAACTTCAAACTCGTCCGACATTTGGGTTGACTGTCGCATAATCAAGTCCAGACACTTAAGTGCGAGCGTTCTGGGCGATACAAGCTTAGGCAGGGCAGTGTCCCATACCGGAAGCTTCAGCAGAGAGGCCTTGATTGTCCCTAGTGTTGTTTGGCCGTTCCTCGACACATTCTGCTTCCTCTCTTTCGCCAACTGGACAATATCTCTTGGCTCGCCCAGTAGTCGCTCAATAAGAGCGGCGAAGCCCTGAGCCTTCAGCTGTTGGAGTAGCAGGGTTGAAGCCGAAGTGGCCAGCATGTTCGCAACAACTGCTGCGATTGCAAAGCCAGAAATGAGGTCCGCCTCTTTATCTAGCGACTTGAACACATCATCGGCGCCGCCATGATTGCGAAGCTGTGACCGAAACGACTTTTCATTCGTTTTCTGAGCAAGCTCGAACAAAGCGCCTCTTCGTAATGAGGAAGGCTTTTCCGATGGCGGACCTACTCTATCGAGAATATCCTCGATCTCGTCCGCGAAACGGCTGTTAGCACCGGCTTGTCGCAGTTCGTGGATACTCCGAACGGCTCCTGCATTGACTGTCTCGTCTTCCTCGTCCATGAACGAGAAGGCGTCCAGGGCAGCACTTTTGGTCAGGCGACCAATGTTAAATAGTGCACCCCCGGACAAGCTATCATCCAACCCCATCCCGCCCAATCCACCGCCATCAAACAGCGGGTCGTTTTCGGCCAACATTGACCTTTGTTGCGTATACGTGAACTTGGGCCCGGATTTCTTGGTTGCAAGTATTGGGCGAGCAAGTCGCTTTGACGGTGTCATGGTTGAGGGATTCGGGGAGCTTGGATCCTGGAACTTGGGGGATTGTTTGCCTTGAGGACTTTCTAGCAGCGGAGAATTGCCATCTTCATCGGAGGAACTGTCTTCTTCCTTTTGGGCTACCAAAGCATCGATCAAGCGTTTCCGCCGTGGCGGCGCAGCAGTAACAGAGGCTTCTGTTTGTGGCGGGGGAGAGGGATTCCTTTGCACGGGCAAAGGCAGCGGTTTTGGTTTGGTTGACGAAAGTCGGAGCGGGATTTGATGCTTCGTTGCCGTATGCGTTGGAATCAACCGGGAAGAGAAGGCATCCGTCATCTTGACATCTTTAACAGGTGTATTGATGGCCTTTTGCTGCCACTTCGCCTTCGGTACTGTTTTTGCAACCTGTTCGTTCGAAGCATCGACGGGTGTTTCTGTGCCAAATGGCGATGAATTGGGAGTCGAGTATGGTCCTGCAAGTACGTCTGTCTGTTCCGAATATGTCCGAGTGATCTTCCTCTTCTTTGCCCTCGCGTCATCCTCGCCGGTTTCGATGCTCCCTGGCAGTGGCTGGCTATGCGGCTCGTCGTGTAGCCTTGGATGGCTGGTCCGGCCATATTTCTGTTGGGTTGATAACCTACCTCTGTTGCTAGAGCTAGTGGTACGAGATACGGCAGGTCCCGGCGAGCTGGGTGGCGATGGAGATGTGAGGGTAGCAGTCACAGGGGCTTTCGTTATGATGTCTTCCTCGCTCTGATTTGTCTTGACGGAAATAGAGGATGCGCTCCTGTTGATGGAGATCGAGGAAGTCGAAGCTTCCACTCGCCTTCTCGTAGCTTTGCCGTATGTGGTCACGCGCTTCTTGGGCGGAAAGTCGTAATCACTGAGGCTGGCCATTGTGCTGACTGGAACGGAGCCCAGATTGATGGATAGCTTTGACAGCGACGAATATGTCAATCGGTTATACGGGCGCCGGAATCGTATCAGAGCAACATGCGGGAAACTATGGTAAGTTCGGCGGCTGAAGGTCGAGTAGTTGGTCAATGGCAGTTCCGGTCAAGTAAACGTGTTGTTGGCGGCGCAGTCACCAAAGCGCGGATGGAAGTCCGATGCGCGCAGCTCGTCTAAGGCATACGGCGATTGTGACGGCGATGGGGAGCTGGAGACATGAGCTTATAAGGTTCGGAACGAGATGGTTGTTATTGTGGTAGTTAGAGTTGGTTGAAGCGAAGCGATGTTTGCTGCGGTGTAGTTGAGGCGATTGAGTTGCGCTTCCTTCCGTCCCGCGTAGGTTCAGTCCAATGTTTTGGAAATGGAAGAAGTCGAAGTGGAAACGGGCGGGTGTCATTGTTGCGAAAACCCCACAATATCTTGCTCCTGTCCGTCACGGTGCCTGCCCTGTGGCCCTGGGTCATCAGTGGTTCACTGCAGTGCGGTGCGCGTGCAAGGGCGGCGGCAGGGGCAAAGGCAGGACAAGGTTCCTAGCACAGTGACCCTGCAGATGGTGGTCTGTGCTTGCCGTTCCCCTCGAGACGCCCGCTCCTCTTTTTCTGCATTTCCGAAAAGAGCCTTTTGATGTTATCGTCCCGTCTCATTGTTTACACATACAAACCTTTATCTCTAGATCCGACTGGTAGAATTGTAAAGCGCGGATATCGGCACCGCATTGTCTAGGAGGAAACCCCGTGGGGTTGCCAAGTCTCTCACATTCTTGCAGTAGGTGAACTTTTCATCCCATCAGAGCTTCCTACCTTGATGGCTCCCACTGGACGGCCTTCGGTGTCTGCCGCCCGCCGCCCGTTGGAGCTCTCGCGGGCTCACGGCGGGCACGGCGGGGTTTCCAGGTCGCGGGATCCAGCTGGACTCCAAGAGCATTTCCACGGTTTCCACTTCCACTTGGACGACTCAGGTCGGACAACCCTGAGAAGCGGGCAGGCATCGGTCCAGAACTGAAGCCTTTCGCAAATGCAGTGCTTTTTTCTGATCTGACAATCGCACAAGGTCCCAAAGTTCCCCTTTCTTGTCCTAGTTCCCGCATCCCGCCACGATCCTCTTCCGGTAAACGGAGAAGCCCAGTCAAATAGTAAGTACACACGCGACCAACTAGGCAAGGCGCCAATTCCTGTCCCCGTTGACACTCTGCGACGCCGAGTTCCACCGTTTATCAGCTCTGCAAGTGGGAGGGGTTTAGTGGGACCGTTGTTGATACATGGTTGGGCGCGGATCTAGTAGAATCTACTGATCTTCCTCGAATCTGGGGGTGGCAGCTTGCGCCGCCTCGTCTTCCCATTTGGTCGCGCTCAATCCCAATCACGAACCCTCATATTCAATCTGTTTGTCATATGTCTGCTCCTGGCTTACAGATAGGCTGTTACCTTCGCCCCAGGATCCTCTTTTAAGAAGCATCTGATCCGCCCTCCCCCCTTCACGAACACTTGCGTGAGACACTATCTTTCTTTACATTGACCACACATCACCTACACGAAACGATTCGCAGAGTATCCGTTCTCACGACTTCGGCACTTAGTCCATCCTCCTATACCCACCTCACCCAACCAAGTCAACATGTCTACCGCCTCCGAGATCGCGCCCACCAAGTGCGTGGGCCCCGATTACCGCGCCGAGGAGCAGAAGCCCACCGCCACCGTCTCGACCGCCGTCAACTTCGACAACGTCACCGTTCTCTCTCAAACTCCCCAGCTCATCGCTCTCCTCAGGTGCGTTTGCTTGCCTCGAGTTGCCTTCCGGACTGCCGTCCGCCGGACGCTGACCTCGGTGGTTACAATACAGCATTATCCGTGACAAGCGGACCGATCGCGGCGACTTCATCTTCTACTCCAACAGAATCATCCGTCTCCTCGTCGAGGAGGGCCTCAACCACCTCCCCACCGTCGAGCACCCCGTTACCACCCCCGTCGGCCGCATATACGATGGTTTGGCGTTCCAGGGCAAGATTTGCGGTGTCTCCATCATGCGCGCCGGGGAGGCCATGGAGCAGGGTCTGAGAGACTGCTGCCGCTCCGTTAGAATCGGCAAGATCCTTATTCAGAGAGACGAGGAGACTGCGCAGCCCAAGCTCTTCTACGATAAGCTTCCCGAGGACATTGCCGACCGCTGGGTCCTTCTCCTCGATCCAATGTTCGCCACTGGTAAGTCTAGGATCTGGGGGAGAACCAAGCGCGCCTTGTGACTGGGTTTTCCACGGCTAACATGTGCTGTCTGTGCAGGCGGATCTGCCATTATGGCCGTCGAGGTGTTGAAGTCCAGGGGAGTTCCAGAAGAGCGTATTATCTTCCTCAACATTTTGGCCAGTCCCGAGGGCATCAGCAACTTTGCTTCCAAGTTCCCCAAGCTCCGGACAGTAACTGCTTTTGTCGACCAAGGCCTCGATGACAAGAAGTGTGTTTTCCGTTCCGTTCCGCCTCATGTTGGTCGCTAAGAAGATGATGAGATTTGAGACTGACTCTAATTGCTATAGTTACATTATCCCCGGTCTCGGTGACTTCGGCGATCGCTATTACTCCATGTAAAGTGTGAAGGGGCGTAGGTAGATTGTTGATTGTGATGACTTCCTGGCGGTGGGGAACGACTTTGGGAAATGGCGTTATCTGAGAGGACTTTTTGATGCCAAGCGTAGTAATGGAATACCCACTCTGGAAAAATCAACAAAACGAGTTCGTGCGGCTTCGTTCGTCGAAATAAAACTGGCGTCGAGATTCGGCTCGGCTTCGCCTATCGTGTGGATGATGATAATGATAATGACCCTTAATAAACCTTTCGCTCAGTCAACCATGACCCCATGAGATATTGGACAGAAAAGAAAGAGAAACAGCCAGCCGGCTACGTGGACGTAACGCAACGTCGAATCGCCGATGTCTTTTAGTCGTAGTCATCGTCATCAACCTCAACACCGGATCCGCCATAGCCTCTATCGTCATCCTCATCATCTTCGTCGATATCGGCAGCTCTCCGGCTTGACGCCGCTGGCCGCCCACCCGTCGACCGGCTGTTCGAGTAAGATGCTGCTTTTGCGCTTGCCTCGGCTTCTTGTGCAACAGCGTCTGTTTGGTCCAAGTCAATGACAAGCTCTAACATGGCAAGGGCAAGGCCATATGCTGGCTTACCTGCAGCGTCTACCCAAGCACTATAGACATCTACCGCAGCATCGAGGTCTACATTGTAGTTGTGAAGTCAGCACTCCTCTGCTTCTCTTGTTTTTGTGTGTATATCCAAGGGTTGGCTGAGCTAGTCTTACAGTTGACAGGGCATTGGAACTTTTGGCCGCAGATTTTGCAGTCGAGGTAGCCAACGCCGGCCTTCTTGTCGAGCTTGACGATGACGGATCGTTCGTGGTTGCAGAACAGGCATGTGAAGACAGTGGGAAGGGGGTCGTTCTAGTTAAGAGCGGGGTGAACAGGTTAGCGCTTTGGTTATGTCAAGGGCAAGGTGAAGGAAGCGTATAATATGGCTGGATAGGTGGAAGGGTACAACGTAGATGGGGTTCCAGTAGTAGTGAGTGTTGTGTATGATATGGGAAGATGGTGCTTGGGGGTGCAGAATGTCTAAAAAAGCTTATCGGGCAATGACGTCTTTGGTGGTATCCAGAGGCGCGCGCAACGGACAAAAGTACGCGATCATCTCTTGGGTTTGGTGAATGGAAAAAGTAGAGGTCGAGATATGCACATACCCTCCTGGGGCCCTGCGGCTTTCTTGACGACTTTTTGCGCTTGCCCATTGTGAAGTTGCCGTGATGGTTGTTGTTGTTTAGGTGTTGTAGGTGGTGGGTTTGTTCAAGTTTGTTGAAATGGCACCGGGGCGTGTTAAGTTCGGTTGCGGTCACTAAGTACTGCAGGTGCGCGGCCGGCAGTGCTGAAGATAACCTATCGATGATTCGCGTCGCAATGGAAACCCTTGGTGCTTCTGGCGCACGCGCTGCAGATCGGATTGCTGAAAAATTGCCGGTGAATGGAAAAGGGGAAGAGCACGTTGGTCGTTGAGAGAATGGAGGCGTGTGCCACTTTACTCAGCACGTGCTTGATGGGTGACTCCTTGCAGGCAAAAGTTGGTGGTTATTGAGGTGTTGATAATTTTGCGACTACACTAGTTCTAGGTTGTTTCTGCACCTTCATGAAGCGTCGCTGACAGCAACCGCCAAAAAGTTTGGCTCCATCCCCGTCCAGTCCCTCCAGTAAGGTAAGGTCAGTGTTGCCTGCCCCACCACGACTCTCACCGTTCTCACCAACTCCAAGGTGAGTTCCTCGGACGCCGCGCGCGTGATCGTCATAGGCTCTATGGTTTTACAAACTCAAAGACTGATGAAGTTATTCACGTAGACTGGTGCAATAGTCCGTGCACATAGTGACAGGACAGGGCTGACTTTCAGGTTTCACACTTCCACTTGCAACTCAAGGCGGGGGCCTTGGCGTGGGGCCCGCCAATTCGATCCCCACCTTGCCCCACAAAAGACCCCTCCCAGCTTTGGGAGGATCGACTACATATCGAGCGGGGACTGGTGATTGGACAAATCTGGCATTTGACATCCAAGCACCTGCCTTCCAGAGTTCGGACCTGTCGAGATACTGTAATACATAATCAAGGCGTCCTGTTCGATAAGACGACCATCCCGCTTATCATCGTTGCTGATGCCCTGGCCTTGGCCCGAGATAGGTTCCCTTCAGTTGTGAGCAGCAGGGCAGCGTTATCGAATTCGTTAACATCGGTACCTTGCTTGATTTCTCGAGCAACTTGCAAGCGGTAGTATCCGATGGTGATGACAGCTCTCCCCGGTACCGGCACCACCCGTTTCGATGTTGGGAGTTCTTTACGTATACTGAGCGGTAACCATACATAGCTTACTACTTGCATCGCGGTGTCAACAATCACTTGAAATCCATACACCCCCATGTTGTTTCTGTTGTGATGAACACAGGGCCTGCACTTTCCCTACACTATGCGGGACCTCTCCAGTGTCGTTCCTTTTCTGCTTACACAATGACTACCTACTAACAAGGGACCACCTACATACGGTACATACCGCTTCCACTTGGAACTGGCGGGAACTGGGGGACAGGGCGCGCTCGTCTCCGAGATCCGCAGCCACGGCACTCGATCCGATTGCGGTACCCCGCCGCCGGCGTCCGTTGTGGGGAGCATGGTTGACCCCAAAAGTGGCAGCATGCTACTCCAGCCTACAGGGGTCGAGGAGCGCTACGGGCATGCCACACACACCCTGTTATCGATCAGCTGGCTATCTTGCTTGGTAACGTTGGTCAGTAACACGCTCCGCGTCCGGTGATTGCCCGAGACGCAACTTGTACCGACTCTTGTTACGTGTTGCAAACCATCGAGTGGTCGATGGCCAAAGACATCCTCTTATCACGAGGGGGCCTTCGGTGGCTTCGGGCAAGTTAGGTACGGTATGCCCCTGGTGACGGCGAGTGCATGTACACTACGAGCTGGAAGAGGAGAGGTTGGATGGCCAAGTGGAAGCATAGTCCAATGTCCACTTCCTCCGGGGACGTCGATAACTACCATGTTATAACTGGCCCTCGTGTCGCCCGACTGACTGACTGTCTCTCTCAAGGTTGCTCCAGATTCCCATTGTCTTCAGTATCTTCGTCTGTTTGTTCCTGACGTTGCCTCCATCCCGTCCCTTTGTCTCCCGTCTCCTAGACCACTACTAGAATCTATCTCTTTAATCATCATCTTTGCCTAGATACTACTGCCCTTCCTCCCCCATTTGCCCAAACAGTCAGACCTGGTTACAATGGCTACAGGTCTGGAAGGTGTGCAGGATGCCTTGCTGGCCATCGCCCAAGGCCAAACGAAGCTCATCTCGGCGGTTGAATCCATCTCTCAACGTGTGAGCAGCTTGGAGAAGACTCGCGAAACCTCGTCGAAACCCAACGGCGAAGCTCCAAACCCAGTCACCACCCCGCTCGTTTCCGGCTATGTCCAGACGCCACCGCTCTTGCAGGCGGATGCCGGCACCATGTCACCATCATCTCCGCCCGCCGATGTCGCAAAGTCCAACTTCTCGAACCGCGTCGTGCTCACGACCTATCCCAAGCAGATCGGCATCAACCCTCTACCGATGGAATGGGGTGCGGCCGATCCCGTGAAGCGTGGCCCGGTAGCTGTCATCCGATCTGGCTCGACCATCCGCAGACGTAACGCCATTGGTGCCCACGGTGGTTCATACTCGGTTTACTATGCACTGGCTCTGGCGAGTAAGGAGCTGGATCCAGACCACAAGCCTGACTTCACCAACACCGAGCCCGCCGTCAACATTGGCCCCTTCCCTCAATGGGGAGACCCCAAGAAGATTGTAGCCATGGATCCTTGGGGCCATCAGGTTCCTTGGATCTTCAAAGATCTCATGGATAAGGAGGGTGGTACGTACTTTCACACGTTGTTGCCTATAATCCCTATTTGCATACGATGGAAACTGACACTGGCTATCGACAGTTGATCTCCGGCCGACGATTGCGATCACGAAAGCCCATATGAAGCTGCCTGAGCTTGAAGAGAGTGTTAAGAGCGGCAGGTTGGTTCCAGATGGCAAGATCTGCTTGAACAGCAACGGTGAACTTGCGGTAACCAAGTTCGCCGTAGAGCCTGTTTGGTACCTCCCCGGAGTTGCCGAACGGTTCGGTATTGATGAGGGCACATTGCGCAGATCCCTCTTCGAGCATACGGGTGGCATGTATCCCGAGGTAATTGGCGCCGCTGGATTATAGCACTTTCACGGACAGACGATGCTGACACAATAGCCAGTTAATTACGCGCTCCGATATCAAGGTCTTCCTACCCCCTATCGGTAAGAATCATCAGCTGTGTATCCCGTCACGGTGTGGTGTTTCAGATTCCTAACCGTCTCTTTCTAGGTGGTTTGACCGTGTACTGCTTCGGCGATCCCGCGAAGATGTCAGACCCTTCGAAGAAACTTGCGTTGAGGATACACGACGAGGTAGGCTCTCGTTCTCATGGGATGTCTTGTCTCTTGAACACATCTTTCACTGCTGACACAGCCACCTTCTATGTAGTGTAACGGTAGTGATGTTTTCTGTTCCGATATCTGCACTTGCAGACCTTACCTCATCTTCGGTATTGAGGAGGCCGTCAAGGAGGCTCAGAATGGCGGTAGCGGCGTGGTAATCTATTTCCGTAAGGAAGGTCGTGCCCTGGGCGAAGTCACAAAGGTATGTGTTCCAAAACTCTGCTCATGAAGACTAAATGCTAATCCAGCGTCACAGTATCGTATGTTGAGTTCCTAGTTGATGCTTACCTCGTCCCATACGGTGGATTCTCGTTTCCTGGGTGAGAGACTAATCGGGAACCTTTTACAGTTGTGTACAACGCGAGAAAGCGCGGGGCAGATCTTGCATCGGACTATTTCAAGCGCACCGAAAACATTGCCGGTGTAAAGGATATGCGATTCCAAGCCCTGATGCCCGATATTCTTCATTGGCTGGGTATTACCAAGATTGACCGAATGCTTAGCATGAGCAAGTGAGTAACACCACGCCCCTCTCCCCCCCCCTACTGCGCGCGCTCTCCTTGCCTTATGGCAGGTATCACCGATCCTCGATCTAATGCATGGTCGCTTTATAGCATGAAACATGACGCCATCGTCGGCCAAGGGTGAGTTAGCATTTCCCGTTTCACTATGTGGTGTGCCGTTGTGCTCGGGTCTTGCTGCATAACCTGCACGTGTGGTGAGCCGGCGATCTTTTGCTTGATGGATGCTAACCTTCCGCACAGTATCCCTATTCTAGAGCGTGTTGAGCTCCCCGAAAGCTGGATTCCAGCCGATTCGAGAGTAGAGATCGATGCCAAGATCAATGCCGGTATGTTTGTCATACTTACTCTTCCAATGTTTCTGTGGAGAAAGGCAGATTAACCGACGAGGATTCGTTTTTATATAGGATACTTCACGACAGGTCACAGAATGACGGAAGAAGAACTCAAAGCGGTGCAAGGTCGGATATGGGAAGAGTAAGTTATCCCTCTTCAAAAAGTCACTCATTAACGAATCGAAGAAACTCGAGGCTAACGTAACCACAGTATCGACCACTAGAAGTAGCAACCCCACGGAGGATACGACGCACAAAGGAGTTTGGTCATGAATTGTAGAGAGATTATTCGGGCAGCAGCTGCATCTTGGGAGAACCCATCGCAGCCCCGTCATTGCCTCTTCGATAACCATATATAACTCATCCCACTTTCTCGGTAGGAATGGTTGTTCATTTCGATCCTGCATTTACCACACCATATCCGCCACACCCACAATCTGTCAGGTCTGAACGTGAAGCGGGCGGGTGAAATATGGAGTGAAAAGAGAGCAACAGAGATCACGCAAACAGCTCTTCGGCCGGTATGTAGTTTTAGCCATGCATATGCAGTACAATGACCATATAATGAGCATATACTCACTAGTACTTACCATTCTAGCCTGATATTCACATCAACTCGCGCATCAAGTGACGAGTCTTGAGTTACCGGGCTGTATGGTTCTCGAAGATGCTGAATGGATTACTTGTCTTCATGACTTAACAACGATCTTTGTTACCCGAAGGACGAAGCAGCAATCCTGTGGATGGGATTGGAAGGTAAGGTAACCAAGGTCGGCCGGCCTATAATGGAAGATGCCAGTCAATGGCCAGGGACGGAGGATACAAAGAGCTTGTATATCCCGAATACTTTGCTTTGGGCGGGCGATTGTCGCTGTGAGCAATAAAGCCTAGCCATCTATTGTAGCAATTGTTCGTCCTACGATACCTCTACAAGCAGGTAACTCTATCGTTAAAGACAGACTGAGTGGTAATCGCCTGAACAGCGTAGAATTACTTGTCTAAGTACTTAAATAGCCATCTAGTCTGGTAAGTGTGCCTGTGCGCTTGGGCTGTCTTTTGTCCTGGCTTGCAGCGGTGTGTCTTCTTCCCACGCTTCTCTCTTTCTGACTTGAATTGTTCCTGCTTCCCAATGCCTCCAATGCTGCGTATTTCACCCGAGAAGAAGGAAAAAAAAAAAAAAAAAAAAAAAAAAAAAGGACACCGATGAGAGTTGAGGTGGTTCCTGGAAGTCAGGCGCATCCCTCGTGGGAGAGAACATGCGAATGATAGGCTGAACACTGCATGTAACCTGCCAGATATTGGGGGTTACAGGCTACACGGGGTAGAATGGGGACGGTTCAAAGAGGGAAGGAGGTGGTTGGATTTGTGGGAAGAGGGAACCGTGGGATTTTGGTAGGGAGTCAGGGGAATCGGTCTATTTGTATTGATATCTTTTGCCCATCTCTTTGGCCTTCGTACACTACAAACACATCTCCTTTGATGGACGCAAGATGACATATATGTGGAAGTTGGTTTCTCTCTGACGATACTTTACTATGCTGTTTTGTAAGTCTTGACCCATTATTCTAGGTCGTCTTCGAAGGTTGAGGGTTGGTTAGGCAAGGTCTAAGGTACCTCAAACTCGTCACTATGGTGTAGGTTGGATTATCTTGAGGCCTTGTATGCGGTCCTGACAACCAGGGATTGAATGTAAGCAAGACAGCGACGGGAGGATTCTACCGGCATGGTGATCGACAGTTGAAAGACAGAACAGATACAGTACTGCCAGAATTGCACAATCCTGCGTCTGGTACCATGGTATCCTCCCCATCTGCGGTAAGACTGATCATAAATCCTGTCAGATCTCATCTCTATGTCATCTTTTTTTTTCTTCCTTCACCCCCATCCCCCACCAAATCCCTCCCCTTCCTTCTTCCTTTTCGGGCGCCCCCCTCCCTCCCTCTGGGGGCCCTCCTCTGTCTCCCGTTTATACACTACCGTTCGGGTCAGACGGGACGTTGTTCACAGAAAGAAAAATAAATCCACACGATAAGATTCATCCAAACATGCTTGGTTGGAACGTGGTTCTTTTTTGGCTTTATCCTGTCTGTCCCGTAATCAACGGGGGTACTTCCAAGGTCAAAGCATTTAGCCCCATTGCCGATCCCTTCTAGAACCGTAAAACAACGGTTTTCCCGTTTACATACTTCAGACACTGTACGCCTTATATTAGCATCGCTTGGTCCAGCTTCGCTTTCCTGCGAAACCATCAAAAGGGTCGAAACAAATTATGATGTCAATTTGGCGGTGTTAAATAATATTCAATTATAGACCGGGGCCAAGCATGCCAGCGCAGGGCAGGCAAACAACAACAACACCACATTTCGGCTTTCATGTTAGTTTTCCTTCTTCTTCTACCTGTTGATTCTATCTAGCCAATCGGTCATTATATCACATATTTTGTTGTTGGATGGTATCCGCTCTGTTCAGGTGTAGTTGCTAGTTTGAGCTGTAGACAGGGATAACAAACAAGGACAACGCAACGAGTACGTGTAGTCCAAAATGGAGACAGCGGGACGTTGACGACGTTGCCAACTTTTGTTGACAGCTCCGAGATGATCAACACTTTCTCCACGTGTAATGGTGGACGGAAAAGGAAGGACGTGGGAAAATATCTAAATTGATGAATTTTTGTATACTGCGTACTAGAACTAGTTCGCAGGATCCCTTCTCCCCTTCTCATGTACCTGTCACTCTCTGCTGGCATTTTGTAAAAGGTTAGCGTGGTGAGCTGCAAAGTGGCGATAACTGTGTGTTTCTCCATACAAAAGATGGCTGCTTTGCTCACCTCTAATTCCCTGAACATCGTGAGGCGGCGGCACCGCGCTTACCAGTACAAGTAGTACGCCGGCTGAGGCGTGCGTACAACGCAAAAAGACCCAAGAAACCCAATCAGATGATCGACTCGCCCAAAGGAGGATGAGTGGTGGTGTTCCTGAGCCGAAGCGAAGCAAGTGGTGTAATAAAGGCAGAGCGGACATACTGTGTAGAAGAGTGCCTGATGATCAGTTCCAAACATTCCATCCAACTACACCCGGAGACATCTGGTTTTCTCTTCTTCGAGGAAGAAAAGAAAAAGAAGGATCGAGATGGTACACCTGTGTATGCATCCCACACACAGTCACAGGACTTGATTCTTGCCACGGCCGGCTGTTGTACGTCTGGTAGGTACCTAGGTATGTAGTCGGGTCGACAAGTTCGGGTCCGGTGAGGCGTCTTCGTCTCTCTCCATGAGTGCGATGTTGAATGCAGTAGGATGCTGGTTTGGGGAAGCAAAGACTTGGCAGGTACGTGCCGTAATGATGGACGCCCAGGCCGTGCCGCGGGGGATCGAGTGATGGAGCCACCACTGTCATCATTTCCTTTCGGGGTAAATCCTTTCTCTCCTCATGTTTTCTGTTTGGGATTATCAGGAGATCTTGTCTTAGACTGAGAATGCCCTGGGTTTACCCCTGGCCCCTGGGCCTAATGTAGGTACCATGGTGCTCTTGCGGTTGTAGCTCGGGTAGTGTAGGTGGATATAGTACTATGTATATGGACTGGCGGACAAGGAGGGAGGATGTCTGTCCTCAATCTCTTTTGTCTTTTTCTCTCTCTCTGACGTATTGAGAACTGCTTGTCAGAAGAGCGTGGTAGTTGACTTAGATCGCTCGGCGCGCAGTATGTCTTGAATGACGAAGGTTTGTTACAAATGAAAAGTTGGTAAGCATATGCTCGTATCGACGTAGGATACACTAGGATTCACCAGAGGAGAAATGATGGTGCCGTCGCCTCTTCCCTTCGCCGTCACCTTTGCTCCCGCCATCTGGTTGATAGTCGGAAGAAAAAGAAGAAGACTTCTAAATGGAAAAATGTGTCATTACGGATTTCTGGCCAATGGAAAATCGAAGGGCTTCGGAGTGAAGAGCGCAAGGTGTGTTACAGGTGAGCAAGAGAGGTCAACTAGGTAAATGGAACTACGAATCGGGGAAGAGAAGGTAGAAACCGCACGCCAATCAGAATCGAGAAGCTAAGGAAAAAAAAATCACGTAGAAACAGGATTTGGTGATGACGATGAAAACAATTTTCTCGGTTTGTGATGCTTTGGAAGGGGGGGAGGGAAGGTGTGAAGAAGAAAGTTCAAAGACTGTGTAATAGCAGCACAGTGACTGCGTACTAAATGCTTCGATGACTGCCGAAAGGGTAGGGTCAGTTAGTATTAGAGTCAGGTGTTGTGAGTAGTCCCGGCGGTGCAGGTGGCCAGTGAGAGGCTCTCGTGTGAAATAGATCTATCCTTTATCAACAAGTGTCTATTCGGACATTGTTTATTGCGAATGTTCGGGTGCGCATTTGGGTGATGGCAGTTCGTGATGATTCCGTGCGCGGATACGCCAGGGTACTGTGTAAGCTTGAGGTCTTGCTGTGGCTCGTCCTGGCTGAGTGTCTGGCAGCGAGTTTGTATGGCCCCACACAGTCGGTGTATCCAAGTGGCTTGAACGAGCCTGAACTGACGAACACGGCAGAGACGGCGACTCGGGAATGTCATCCTATCTTGTAGATCTTCGGTATTCTTGTGCTTCGCTCGTGTTTCTATCCATTCTGTGATCATCCGCGCCATGGTTCATGACAGCAGGGCGCAATGTAACGGAATACAAAAATGGAGCACGGGGAAGCTAAAGCAAGCTCGCAAGCTTGTCTGCCTCCAGCCGGCGACGGCGATCCTAAAGATCGAAGCTAAATAAGAACTTTGGGTGGAACCAAAAGAAGTTGTGCAGTAGCAAGAATAGCTACACCACTAGCATAGGAAACACAGTGGTTCCAAAGAGGAGAAGAAGAAGAAGAAGTGAACGTTGTTGACTGCAATGGATCCCACAACATCGGATAACTTTTCGACATCGGTCAGTTCGAAACATGACAAGGCCTCGGGGGCTTACTTGCAGCGACTGCCTACAGTAGGAACCGACGGAGCGAAAAGCGACAAAGCTTTGTAACCCAGTCAACGGTTGTTCAAAGTGAGTGGAATGAGATATGGCTGCCCAGTGAGCCTATTTGATGCCCTACCAGCCGGCAGTGTTGAGAAAATACGCAGTCGTTCTCACTGGTCCAATTGTAGTTATATGGTGGAGTTTCTATGGACTGCCCCTCTCCCTTTTTTTTGGAAGATCGCGATGTGCCGGACTCTTCTCAACCGTCCGCACTGCGTGGACTTGGCAGTTGCATGGAACTGGAGACAGAATCCGGGGTCTGACTAGACCAGCTGCTTCATGTGTTCTGTCTAAGGTACCTACCCCGCTACGTACCACAGCATAGTATAGCCAGCAGGTACCAACATAGGAAGCTGAATGTTTGGCGGGCGGACTGCTGCGCGCAAGGCATGTCCTCTCGCACGTGTGGAAGGCATGAGAAGATGCAGCTAGCATCTACCTATACTCCTTGCACGGCATCGCACAAAATCAAGAACATTGCTACATATGTGGTTATAAAAGGACTCCGCAAGTGAGGATGCCTCAATAGGGAACGGATAGTGGTACGTGCCACTTTCATACTGTCTAGCTCAAGGTTTAGGTTGGTATAGGGGCCTTAGCCCCGCCGAGAAGTGAGTGGCCCTCTGGATCCGTCCTCATCCTTCACCGGAAGCATCAAGTGTTACTCGATATATCAACTCAAGGTGCTGTGTATCCCAAGATTTATGTCTATCGGGTTTCCCGCCATGAAATGTGTGGTGGAATAGGATAGTGAAAAATTGTAATGTGGCTACCGGTCAGGAGGGTTGCATATGGAACATGGGGAAGACAGGACTGTGGGCCGATAGAGAGAGTGCGGGTGGGTGATATCGATCACAGAAAAGGCACATTAAAGTGACCATAACCCGCAACCGACAACACCCAACTCCCACTCTTCATCGGTCGATGGTAAGCTATCTGGAACCCAGAGAAGGGGATTCGCGCGCTGCTTGGCTTGGAATACATAGTACAATGCCATTGCCGTTGTTGCCAGAGGGAGGAGGGAGGGTAATACATAACGTAATCTTCCAACTTTCTCTGTAATTGCACTGGCTTGCCGTTCTTTTTTTCTTTTGTTTTTCGTTCCCCTCTTTTTAGACGATTTGCTACCTGCGGTCGATTTTCCCCTCTCAGTTAGCACCGTAGTATTGTTCAGATTGATCAATTCCCCGAGCCATGTTCACTCAAGTCAGATATATGTACGAGTGACGAATTCCATCGAATATGAGAGTAAGAAAAAAACAAGCAGGTTCTGGACAAGCTAGAGAAGGCCGTATCGGTGTTAGGCGAAGAGGGCCTGGACGCCTCGATTGAGTAACAGAACAGAACAGGACTGGAGCGAGACCACCGGCGTTTCCTGAATTGGGTAGTCTAGGCCTTCTCTTTGGGTCCCCGGTGCTCCCCAGCGTTTCCCCAGTGTGCGGCCAATGTCCAGTGAAGTTGTGAGCTCGAAAAGAGTCAAGTGAGAAGATGCAACCACCTTGCATGTTGCAGACTGGGAGTCTGTAAAGTGTCAAATCTTGAGTGGCTGTCGGCGTTGAGTGTACCCCACCTGATGTTTCGTTTTGGCGGTGTTTGGGTCACCAGAGGAGCCAGAGGTACCCTACTGCGACGGCGGTCCAAAAAGGACCAGCGAGTAGGGTGTAGTCTGAGGGCATTGCGAAAACTGTCGCTGAAGTGCCGTGGAGAGCGTTGGACTTGGCATTTTCGAGACTCCGCTGTCGCCAGTTAAGGCTCTATGAATGGTCCGGCGGGCACCGGTCAGCACGTCGACGGAAACCGCAACACCTTGGTGTTCCATTCAATGCCCAAGTTTCTCGAATCTCGGGGGTTGCCATCAATGATCATAGCAGCTTGGGGGGCCGGGGACCAGGGAGGGGAGAGATGGGAGGCAGGGGCATTGGCAAGATGGGGACGATGGGGACGGGGGGGCAGGACCAACACCTGCGGCAGCTACGTACTTGGTACCATGATCCATGGGTCCTCTCCATTCAGGTGCTGTGCCATCCCATGGTCTGCAGACGTGTACGGCGGTCGAGTCCAGAGAAGCACCTCGCCAACTCGTCTTAGGTATTATCCAAACAAATTGTTTGGTCGTTTCATGCACGTTGACATGCCTCATGTAACAGGAGATACTTCCGAATCGCCCGCTGGTCCGGCCTGGTTGCTTGTTGGTAGACCTGGCCAACTTGCACAACCGGCCTGAACTAGGGAGGAATACAAGCACAGTCACACAACGCTGACTGGGTTTATTTGGGTGTGTCAAAGGGCTGCAGTGGTTAGGGTGGTCTTCCACTCTCGGCCCCGGAGGCAACAACGGGTAACGGGCGGGTATGCTTAGCCTCCCCTCTCCCCCTGGCCGACTCAACCATCGACTGACAAGTGGCAACCGAAAGTACCACTGAATGACACTGTAAAACACCTCCCCGGAGCTAAGCGGAATCGCACATTTCAGCCCAAAAAGGCTGCTTTTCTTCTTATACTCGGGTCCGTCTCGACTTCAAGCCCGCCCAACCTGCTCTCTTTCTTCTTCGTCTCCTTATAAACAACAGCCGAATTCGATGTGAAAGCCCAGTACTTTCTGGTGTTCAACACTACAGCACCTTGGACTCACAATAACGACAACCTATCATCATCCAGACCAAAAGTGTCCGTCACAACAACCAATCACAACAAACCAGACCAACATTAGACATGGCGTCGTCAACTACTGACTCTCGCCGCATGCCGCGCAGAGACTCTTCGACGGCCCGTGGCACCCGAAGCCCCAGCCAAAGGCCAAGACTTCTTCGAGCATCAGCCACCGAGCCCTCTATCACCACGTCCAATGCCAGCCGAGATGCGCTCGCGAACTCGTACTCGTCTCGCAGAGCAACCGAGCTCCTAAGAGTGGCTTACATCTCAGGTGGCTCATCTCCGGACGCCCTCACCAGAGCTACCTCCAGAGCCACATCTCCCATCTCAACACGGACATCACCACCACCAATGTACGATAGCTTGGGTCGACACTGTGAGCTATCCTCGTCTCCTATCAGCAACCCGGATGGCTTTGATGAGCTGCGTGATTCTTGTGAGTTGCTTGCCTCAGTCATTAATGCTTCGGGACAAGAGCTGACGCCCCGATAGATTCGCATTCGCATTCGCAGCGATACTTCAGCTTCCCAAGTTTTGACTTGTATGAGTCGCCTCACCAAGAAGAGGACAAAGAGCCACACATGAAGTCTCCTTGAAAGGCGCGCTCGGATTCTGGAAGGAGAGAGCTGTTTTCGACGTTCTTTTTTTTTCTCTTTGTTTTTCAGTTTGCAAAAAGCAAGCCCTGCCTTCCACTTTGGTCATCGGACTGCTCACCCAAGACGACGTCCACCCACGAGGCCTCTATCACTCGGGGAACAGTTGCGCCGCCGTGCAAGAGCACTCGGCAGGTGTAATATTTCCAGGAACATGACCCTGGTGTCATTGGAACATGACACGCAAACAGCCCGCATTGAATGGGCGCAGGGCATTGGGCGAGGGACAGGCGGATCATCCCGGCGTTTTTGATTCCTTCAATCCTATGAATCCCATTTTTGAGGTATTCGGAGGGGGGAAACGGAGGATGACAACGCGATGCACGCCGCTTCAGCACATCTCGTAGCTGGCGGATGCTACGTGCCCATCGGGTGGTTTCGACGGAGTCTTGTAAGAGCAGGATATATTTATCCCCTAGGGACAGGGGATGAGCAGTAGGGACAGGAGAGGCTGGTGGATGATCCTTACCCGACCGAGCTGTGGGCCAAGTTGAGCTCCCTCGGTCATGGGGGACATTGTCAGCGATTATGGCGCCAAGACACGCCTAGGTCCTTGTAACGCAGCCAACTGTTCAAGATGCGTGAGTGCCCCGAGGGCGCCGTGTCCGGTTGGCGACGACAAGACTGTCTTGTACAAAACAAACACCACAACATAAGATACCCTGTAGAAATGAAAGATGAATAAGTGCAAACTGCAAACAATTCTAGTTCTCTCGCAACCCTCGGACAAGTCGTGAGATGCGATGGCGGTGAATCCAGCCCCAGGTCAGTTGCTCGTCTCATTTGCTGGCCAATGTTCGTGTTGTCAGGTAGCCATGGGTGGTTAGTGCACCGCCAGAACATGGGTGAGCTCTGGTGAGTCTCGATGTAAAATGCGTGCAGTGATATCGCCAAAGTTCGTCGCCAGAGAATGCTTCATGCAGTAAATTGCAGCGCAGTCGCCATGACAATGACAGGGCCATAGACCGTACGGTATTTGGGGGGGGGGGGGGGGGGGGGGGGGGAAAAAAATGGGCCCCTTTTTCCCAAACGGGGGGGACCCCGGGGGGTTTTCTAAAGGGGGTTTTTTTTTTTTTTTTTTTTT